TTTCACTGGGCTTCTAGGCTGCTCGGATCACAAGTAACTCTGAGCAGCACATATCCCAACCTCCATAAATTGGATTCCAAATAATACAAAAAGAAACAAAGTAATAATGTGCAGCCTACATTGTGTATCAAGAATACAAAAAATCCGAAACCCTTCCACTACTAGAAAGGACTAAATCACAGCGATGAAATAACCAATGAAATAAACCATCTTTTGTTGAACTTCTTAAAAACCAGGAGGGAGGGGGCTCTCATCTGAAAAGACTCACTTCTCTGGTTCCTGAGGCATTCCCAGACATTCAGTGAGGGACTTGATGAACAAGTGATGTTTGGTTGGGTGGCCTACACCAATGACATTGCCATAGGTGTATACTATACTATGGAATGCCAAGCAGCATTTGACCAACTCAAAAGCTTGTTCGCAGGAGAACCAGTCCCCCAACACCCTAACCCTGAGGAACAATTTAATATCCAAGCGGATGCTAGCAATGTAGTAGAGGGTAAAGTTCTTCTTCCAAAAAACAGCAAGGGAGACCTATAACTATGCGCTTATACCTCCAGAAAATTGACCAACACAGAGAGATGATGGGCAGTATGGCAGAAAGAGGCATTTGCCGTTTGTTGGGAATTACTAACCTGGCACCATATTCTAGAGAGAAGTAAAATACTATTGGAGTGATTAATGGAGAAAATTCTTAAAGTGAAGATAAAGATTAAACCAGAAACTTTCCTTCTGGGCCTAATGGAAAGAGAACTGGGGAAAAAATGGAAATTTTATATATAGCAATGGCAGCAAGAATGCTCTATGCACAAAAAGTGGAAAGATGCCTCGATTCCTATCATGGACGAATGGTTACAAAAACTGATGGAATTAGCAGATATGGCCAAATTGACTGTGTTGATTAAAAAAAAAAGAACATAAGTACTTTTGTTTCTACTTGGAAACCACTTCTACTTGGAAACCACTTCTGGACTTTGTGTTTGAGGTGGAAAAAAGTGATATCATGATTTTGGGTTTCACCAATTATACCGATTTGCCGATACAGAAATGGCTAGTGCATACTACTATAGAAATGTAAAAAAGTTGACATTTGATTTTAATGTCTGATTTTACTGCAACAGAGAGTCGGAAGTCAATGCCTTTTGTTTCTTCCCCTCCCTTTCTTCACACCTTTTTTGTTTGCCCTTTTTCTATTGTTGTCCCCTACTATTTACTTTTGTATTTTCACATTTTATGTTATAAATGAATAAAAATAAATAAAAAATAAAAAAATGAAATGTGGACTGACCACAAAAACCTTGAGGCACTTAGAACCCCTTGGAAATTATCCTCCAAGCAGGTTCGATGGGCGCAATATTTCAATCGTTTCAACTTCAGTCTAAAGTACATTCCCGGAGGGAAGAACTTCCTAGCTGATGCCTTGTCCAGAATAACACAATACCATGTTTCCCCCAAAATAAGACTGGGTCTTTGTTGCCTCCAAAAGAGGGACCAGGTCTTATTTTCAGGGAATGTCTTACTCACCTCTGGCACTGACAGCCCCGCCTAGCCAGTCCACTTCTTCTGGCCGAAAGAATAACTTCATTCTGCAGCTGCAGTCCATCCTGCATTTGCAAGTCATGCCTTTCCAGAAGGCCTATGCAGCCGAGAACCAAGCAATGGATTCAATCCATAACTCGGTTCTTGGCTGCAGTGGTCTTCTGGAAAGGCCTGTGACTGAGAAATGCAGGCCTGGCTGCAGAAGACACCACAGAAAAAGTGGGCCAGCAGAGAGAGGCCTGTCTGCAAGGTAAGTGGGTGTAGAGCACGTCGGGCAGCGCCACATGCCCACCCCTACCCTAGCTTGATTTTTAGGTGTGTGCCTCACCCCAAAATTAGGGCTTATTTTGGGGGTAGGGCTTATATTAGGCCAACTCCCAAAAATCAAGCTAGGGCTTATTTTCGAGATAGGCCTTACTTTCAGGGAAACACGGTACAAGAGCAATTGTGAGGAAATAGTCAATGCTATCATCCCCTCACCTCAAAAAGCTTCCCAAGCATTAGGCATCAAGTTCAAAAGCAATCCGCCGGCTCCAACAGTGACTTGACCCAAAAATTTAAAACTGAACTGAAATCCGATCTCTGGTTAAAAGACAACCAGCAACTGTTGACATATAGAGATGAATTGGCATAGAAAGTTTCTAAATTGTAGCTTCCTAGCTCCCTCGGGGTCCAAGCCCTGCAATGAAGCAATGATGCCAAGCAAGCCGGTCACTTTGGGTTCCTAAAGACCTTACAACCAGTAAGAAGACAATTCTGGTGGCCAGGAATGAAAAGGAACATTGAAAGCTATGTAAAGAGCTGTGCAATCTGCACCGTCATGAAGAAAAAAACTAGGGAAACCCCCTGGATTGTTACAACAGGTAGCGGAGCCATCCCAACCCTGGGAGGAAATTGCAATGGACTTCATCGCTTCCTGAAAATGGCGGGAATACTGTAATTTGGACATTGACCTTTTCTCTAAGCAAGCTCCTTTACTGGCTGCCCTGGTCTTCCCTCTGCCCAGAAACTGGTGAAACTATTTTTAAAACCCATCTATTGACTCCATGAAGCACCAAAAAGAATCATATCGGACTGAGAGGTTCCATTCTCAGCTAAATTCTGGAGAGAGTTTGTAAAACTGATCGGATCCACTCAGGGTCTCAGCTTGGCTTTTCATCCGAGTACGAATGGAGCTGCTGAATGAGCGAATGCAATGGAACAATAACTGAGATGTTATGTTAACTATCAGCAGACCAACTGGACAGACCTTTTGCTGAAGTAGCATACAATAACACTGTGCCCAGCAGTACTGGACTTACTCCCTTTAAAGTAGCCGCTGGCAGGGAATTCATTCCCATGCCTGAATATCCCCAAGAACCCCCTTCCTCATTGACTTTGACAGAGTGGATAAGCTCACTGCAGGGCAAATGTAAAACGTGCCTTAGCCAAAGCCACAAAGATTCAAAAAGAGCAAGCAGATAAAAGGTGGTCCCCCCAGAAACCATTTCATGTAGAGGAGAAAATCTGTCAACCAAATACCTAATATTAAAACTACCCTGAAAAAAACCAGGGCCTAAATTCAACAGTCCCTTCCCCATCGTAAAGATCATAAATCCCATTACTGTGGAGCTAAAACTCCCACAACTATTAGGGGAAATACATCCGGTGTTTCATTGCAGTTTATTAAAACCAGTCATAGAATCAACATTGAGATCAGTACCTCCAGTAGCCCCAGGTCCTATTATAGTAGAAGGTGACACCCATTATGAAATAAAATGGATCCTTGATTCTCAACTGTATAAAGGGAAATTACAGTATCTAGTTCAGTGGAAAGGCTATCCTTTGTCAGAAGCTACTTGGGTGAGGGGTAAAGATGTAAAGGCAGATAGACTAGTAGAGAAATTTCACAATAAACATCCACAAAAGCCTAGAGAGGCTCCAGGTGATAGAATAGAAGATTAGCGAAACCCTAATGTGTATCTATGCTTGTTATTTTCCAGGAACTTCTTTCTCTCTAGGGGAGTCCAATTGTCAACTTTTGAAATGAACCTGGATGAAGCCATCTTTGTTGTTCACAGTTGCCACACAGGCTGGAGGTGGGGGGGGGGAGAAAATGGAGCTATTGCTAGCCATAATATTGAACGATCCTGTGGGAACCAATGTCATCCTCACAGGTGCTGGAAGTCAGAGAGGAGTGTCATGGAGCCCAATTGCCCTCATTGGGTAGCATGATCAATGACATGGTAGGGGGGGAGGGAAGTATTACATTTAGTTATTTTGAATCTGCATGAGAATTTTAGAGTTGGTTTCACTTTTGATCGTGCCAATATTATGTATCCAATAAACATGTTCTTTGAGGAATTTTCAAGCCTCAGAGTTCTGATTTATTTGGGTTCATTAGTTGGAACCTTGACAATAGGTACCCCCAACGGCCCCAATGAGGGGTGTGGCCACAGTTGGTTGTGAGTATATGTGTATATATATTTATTGTTGTCTCAGGTCTATCCTTCTTCCGGGGGGGTCGGCATGTCAAGACTGATTTACATTTTCATCTATATTTCACTTAGCTCGCAGCTTGACAAAGAAAAGGGAGGAGGGGGATGCAATGCAAGGGTGGGGGCAATTGCATCTGAGCATCATCTGTTCCTGTGAGAGTGCCCAACCCAAGAACACACTGAGCAGGTGGACTAACATGGCTTGCTGGCTCTCATAACAAAATGGACAGTTATTGGTGGATGTAATGGACTGAGAGTGGCCCACAGGGAAAGGAGGGAATTAATTATGCTAGCTTTTGCGCAGGAAACCCAGAGCTGGTTTCACTTTGTCTGTGCCAATATGGTTTATTCAGTAAAGTTTATACTCTTGGTAAAATATAGAATCATGTCCCAGCAGTTTCTTTTTCTGGAGCTACCAACTGGACAGTTAACACCCTAACCCCAAACCAATCCCACCCCAACCCAGCCCCCACCCATCCCCTCACCCTCACCCTCAATGGGGGAAATCCATCTACTTGGAAGAAAGAAGCATGCTTTCATGTCAATTACTAAACCTGGAAATCCTATCAAAAAAACATCTTGACTATCAAAGCCCATTCCACACTTCTGAAACCTTATCCAATCTGGGATTACACGGCTAAGGTAGGAAAATGAGTGCATGGTTCAATCCTCTCTGAACCAGTTTCTTCTGCAAAAAAAAGCTTTTGTCCCTGTCTTCTATATCCTTAGAGCAGAATATTTTAAGTCTGCCACCTACTCTCATGTTACTTCAGTTAAAGATTTGCAACTTCAAAAGTGTCCTTAAGTTTGTAATCAGGAGCTTTCTGCGCAATCAGCAGCAGAAGGCGCTTCTGGAATGTTGAATCAATCAGAAAGTTCTAAGCTGTCCACGTTCACAAAGGGTTGCCAAGGGCACCAAGTAGTACAAAGATGTTCTAAGAGTAAGGGGTAACACGGGGTAAGGGCTACTCCGTGGCCTTGACCATGGATGGGGGCTACCAGCTATGGGCACCCTGGTCTCCACTAGATGAATCTCTGCAGTGGCTGAGGGGCACCATCCCCAGGCCGGGGGCTTCCAAGCCTCTCTTCCGAGGTGGACGGAGCCCAGGTGCTGTCGATTTAGAAGTGCAGCTTTGTTTCCAGGGCCTCAGTCTGGTCCTGGAGCCTCGTGCAAAGATGGGAGCAGGACAGCAGCAGCCACCGGGAGCAGCTGGGGAGACAAGAGGGCGCAGTGGGTCTGTGCGTAAACCCCAGGCTGTGCGTCTCACAGGAATTGATTCGGTATTTGGACACCTTGTGACAGTACAGCCCCCACGCTGGAGTGGCTCCCTCAGGGTATCCAAGCATTCAGCCTTCCATCAAGTCATAAGCACCCGCCAACGCTGGCCCCAAGGACTCCAGGAACCCCAAGTGCGCATGGCCATGGCCATATGCCGGCAAATGCTGCGTGCCATGCTCCTGCTCTACGCTGCCTACAAGAGGTGTGCCTTCGCATTGCAACATTCCCACTGAGGGCCGGCCTGCGACAAAGGGAATCTCCTTCCCTCAGTTACACCCTCTATGTGTAACTATCTATGTGCTTCCTACTCTCGTGGAGTCCATTCTGATCAGCTAAACATCTCCCGCTGACTGGGGATACCCAGAGAATATCTAAACCTGAACTGTAATTTGCTAATGTAATAGTTCATCATTATTATAAATGAAAGAAATATTTCAAGTAATACAGTATCATTGAAGGAAAAATTTCTGAAATTCCAACAAGGAGTCTAACAACATATCCCATTTGAGAAACAAGTCACACATTTGCGCATGGTGAAGAACATTCATTCAGCAAACTGATATAACTGGACTTCTAGATGGGATGAACATAAAGTTCAAGAATATTTGTAATACTAGAAAGAATATTAAAGCAAATTTCAACATAAAAACCATTAAGGTACTAAAGAATGGGACTGAGAAATAAATCTATTTGAAATCTATTAATTTGCCAGGGTTAGATACTAAATGGCAATAGTAGGGATCTATGCAGGATAGTCTAAAAAAAAGCTGTATTGATTGCTAAATAAAATGATTATCTCAACCACATCTGAAAATATTGTTTGGAATTCATTTTGGAATATCACATTTCCTAAACTGAAACAACGCTTACTGCATTAGTATGGTTAGTAAATAAGCCTGAGGCAATGATTTAAACAAATGTTATATTTTGTTTTCAATAGACTATGAAGATACCTAATGGACAAGATTCTGACAGGTTAAAGGTGTGAGTGCCTGACCTTTAAGAACAGCTCTAATTTAAGAATATATCAGTATATCTGAAACACCCAACATTCAACATGTACCACCAGTGAAATGCTTAATTATAAAATAAACACTTTAAATATTTACCACCTCTGCCAACTTTTAAATACACATTTTTTCAAACAGAAATAAACCTTTCTCCCATGTCTAAAATCTTTTGTTATTGCTTCCAATATCATGCCAGTAATTTCAATTTCTGCATGAAATTGTAATAGAATTCCTTATTGTTATTCTAACGCAAAAAGTGGGTTATTAAGATTTCTGTAGATTTTAATAGCAGAAGCAGCGTGTTCCTCCTTCCTGAGGCTTCGTTCAGAATCGACCAGACCAGGGGTAGGCAACCTTGGGTCTTTTATGACTCGTGGACTTCAACTCCCAGAATTCCTGAGCCAGCCATGCTGAGGGAAAAGGGAGAGGTTTCCAAGCTGAGCCATGCTGGCTCAGGAATTCTGGGAGTTGAAGTCCACAAGTCATAAAGCGGCCTAGGCCAGAGGTAGGCAATCTTGGCTCTTTTATGACTCGTGGACTTCAACTCCCAGAATTCCTGAGCCAGCATGGCTCAGCTTGGAAACCTCTCCCTTTCCCCTCAGCATGGCTGGCTCAGGAATTCTGGGAGTTGAAGTCCACGAGCCATAAAAGAGCCCAGGTTACCTACCCCTGGACCAGACCAATTTGAGTATTCAGCGGCAGAGGCGGGAGGGCCTCCTCGGGAAGGAAGGCCCCGGACTTGCCCGCCCCAAAGGCCGGCAGCCGCGAGGTGCCACTGCCGGGCCCGTCTTCAAGCCATCCCCCGCCTGCTCGGGCCCAGCTGTCCTCGGGCAGAAGCCGCGTCAGGAAACCGCAAGGGAAGCGCCCGTTCTCCCCGCTCCCGGGCCGTCCCAACGCCCGACACTCCTGCCGGCAGCCACCCCGCCTCGGGGCCCATTCGGAGCCCGATCGCCCCGCCCACCTCCCCAGGTTCTTCGGCTACCGCGCCGTCACCCCGCCCCTCAAGCGGCCCTTCCGCCCTGCTCGCGGCGGCTTCCGGCGGCGACCCGGCAATGAGGCTGACGGCGGTGCTCGGCATCTCCCACGGGCGGTTGCGGCGCCGTTTGGGGTTCGGCCCGCGCTCGCGCCTCGACCTGCTGCGGAACCTCGTCACGGGCCTGGTGCGCCACGAGAGGATCGAGACCACGCGCGCCCGCGCCGACGAGATGCGCTTCTACGCCGAACAGGTGAGTGGGGGGACGGGGGGGAAAAACGGGCGTGGGGGGGGGGCGTCCCGGCGAACGAGGAGCCCCCCCCTCCTCCTCACCCCCCCCGTCCCGGTGTTTGTTTCTGCCCTGCAGCTGATCGAGCACGCCAAGCGCGGCGACACGGACCCGCAGGCCATGCGCCTGGCCGACTTCTGGCTGACGGTGAGCGGGCTCGGCTTGGGAGGGGGTCCGGGGCGCTGGCGGGGCTGCGGGGTGCGAGAGCCGGGACTGACCGCGGCGCTCCCGCCGCTGCTGCCGCTTCCTTGCAGGAGAAGGACCTGCTGCCCAAGCTCTTCCAGGTGCTGGCGCCCCGCTTCGCGCCCCACCAGGGAGGCTACACGCGGATGGTGCGGATCCCCAAGAACGACAACCTGGACCGGGCCGAGAGGGCGGTGATCGAGTACAAGGGCAACCCGCTGCCGCCGCTGCCGCTGCCCCGCCGGGACGGCGAGAAGACGCTGGTCAACCAGCTGCTGAAGGGCTACCGGGAGGAGCGGCGCCCCGCCGACGGCACGGCCGTGTAACGTCGCCCCTTGGCGAATAAAGGCCTCTTCGCGCTCGCCCCGGGGCCGCCGCCTCCTGCGGGGAGTGGGGGGGGGACCGGACTGAGCTGGGGGTGAGGAGGAGGCAGCGCTTCCCTCCCAGCAACTGAGCCGGGAGAGCCGGTCAGCTGTGCAAAGTCTTTGCTAAGAACCGATTGGAAAACGGCCAGCGACTCCAGTTGCTCACCTCAAAAAAAGGCATTCAAGATTTGGGAAAGGTGCAGAGGCTTATTAATGGACTCCTGCAGCTGGGATTATCCGTTTTGTGTTCACTGTTTATATTTTTGCCCGTTTTGACTCCTCCACCACGCCAGTTGGAATAGATCTTGGAGAAAATCTAACCCAGTGTTTCTCAACCTTGACCATTTTAAGGCATGTGGACTTCAACTCCCAGAATTCCACAGCCAGCGTTGCTGGCTGTGGAATTCTGGGAGTTGAAGTCCACATGCCTTAAAATGGTCAAGGTTAAGAAACACTGATCTAACCTATTTTTTTCCCACCTGCCCCCCCCCCAACCTGCACTCCTCATCTTTGTCTCTGTACCCCTCGCAGCTGTTTGTCCTTTTTTTCTTTCCTCCCGCCTCTTCCAGCATTAAAGATTTTTTCTGAGAGCTGTTTAATGTGATGGGGTCATTTGTGCCTCAAGTGAGAACTCTGGGTCCATGGGTTTAGTGATCCATCGTTTGTTTTCTTCCCTGATATTTTTGGGAATCTTCTCCAAAGTGCAAAAGCAACAATTCTTTTCTTATCCTTTATGTTTAAAGTCCAACATTCGCTTGCATAGCAAAAGGGAGCTCTGATATAGAGACAGCAAGGCTTTTGAATGGTATCTTTTTCCAGGGCTGTCATGGCTGCTGTACCAAATACTAATCTGTGGGCATATTTCTTGGTTGCTTGTTTTTTTTTACTGTTGCTGGTTCATCCTAAAAGGCAGAAGTATCTTCACTCTCAGTTCTTTTTCTCCCAACTATTTTATTGAAAATCATATTAAACAAATAGAACTAATACAGTTACCTAAAAGAGAAATGCATTAAAATATTTTTTTAGATAAAAAAAGAATAAGTATAGGAAGAAAGACAAAACAAAAAAATAGCAGAAACTTCCCAGCAAATATAATCACTGTCTCTTAAAATATAACTGACCATTTCTTAATTCCATACTTCACCCCATCGCCTATAAGCCCATTTTTAAATCTCCATATTAGTCAGCAAAATTCCAACAAGAATTATCAGAAATAAAAACCTAAGTAGTATAAACTGTATCTATTACGCCCAATTTGAATCCATTTTAAAACTATATATTTGCATTTAAATGCCCCCTATTACCACTCTTCAAATACAGATAGCCCTCAATTTACGACTGCAGTTGAGCCCAACATTTCTGTTGCTAAGTGAAACGTTTGTTAAGTGAGTTTTGCTCAACTTTAAGACTTTTCTTGCCACAGTTAAGTGAATCACTGCAATTGGTAACTTTGTAACACGGTTGTTAAGTAAAACTGGTTTGCCCATTGACTTTGCTTGTCAGAAGGTGGCAAAAGGTAATCACATGGCCCCTGGACACGGCAACCATCATAAATACGGGTCAGTGGCCAAGCATCTGAATTTTGATCATGTGACCATGGGGATGCTGCAACGGTCGTGTGAAAAACGGTGATAAGTCAGTTTTTCCAGTGATGTAACTTTGGACAATCACTAAATGAACTATTGTAAGTTGGCTACCTATAGTCGAGGTCCAATCCCAGTCAAAAATTAAACATCACTGTTTGAAAGTGACATCTAATCAATATTGGTATAGTCTGAAATAAAAATAACATTCTAGGTAGTGCATTCATTCCCACGTTCCTGCATTATGCTGATCACAGTCGAAACATGCTTCATATGTACTTGCAAGGAGGAGACACAGCCCAATTCTCCCATGATTGTTGCCCTGGGGATGGGCTTTGGTAGCCTGCTGTTCCTCTACCTCAAGCGTAATAACTGAGCCTTCAAGATTAGTAGCCCTCAATAGAGGGGTCCTTAAATTTATCCAGCCCGATAACTGGATAAATTCCACACATGCAATCTAGTAGCTATCACCAGGCATCTTGGAGTAACGAATGCCATGTGCTACTGATGCCTGATGTGAAGCAATGCTTTCTTTGGGCCACTTCCATCAGCTTCATTGGAGGGAGGAAAAACAGCTCCCTGTTCAGTCTTTGTGCCGCGCAGGGGTCTATTCAGCTCAATCACAGTCTCGGATCTAGACTTCCTTGCAATGGAGTTGTTCAAACTGCAATAATTTTGGTTGCGCTCTCTCATGTTTTCCAATCTTTTTTTCAGTGCGTCAGCTTAGAACGGTTTACAGTATTCCAGCTTCAGGCACGTTCTTACTGTGTTGACAGCTTTATTTTCAATCATTTTCCTAAGGATTCCTAGCATACAATTTGCTTTATTCATACATGTGACTTCTCCATTACACTGTCCATTGTGGGCACCAGATTTTTTTCTTCACCTACAGATTATCTGTGTCTTTGTGGAGGATTCCTTTCTCCGGTGTGCATCACATTATTTCAAAATTATTTGCCTCTCGGTTAAGTGTTATTGTGACCAAAGACTGGCTCTCCTAAAGGAACAAATAACTTGAAGATATGACATGTTTATTAAGCAAACAAATAACTTTCAGTGTGCACTCAGCTCTAAGCTTGCTGAGCAGCCTTGATGAAAAGCAGAGTCACAACATGTATATTTTTTGATATGCTATGTTACAAAGGTAAGACAAAGACAGGCAACTGTAAATTACACCATGATGTTGGAATGATTTTGATAAACCCACCTGAATGACCTTACTTACTCCTTTCTGCTTAGATACACCGAGATATGGCCAGTGAATATATTCAGTTTACTGGGCCCCCAATTCCCCATTCTTCTGTTGGCACTTTAAGCAGTTCAGGTGTGTTGGGGGGGGTGGAGTAGCGTCTCATGTGTGGCAGTGAATGCTGTATGTGGGACTGCCTTTTGCCACCACAGCAGTCGTTTATTTTAAGGAGGTCCTCCTTCTCAAGCGCTTCATAATCACTTTGGCATTTTGCAATTGGAATAGCTTTTTCCTTAAGTCATCTATAAGCAAGTCCTAACACTTTCACATTTCTATTTGTTTCTGTTTTTCAATGATTTAACAATTCATAAAGCGACTGGTCATCTCACTATTATGAAGTTTAGAAGAGCCATTGATGAGGACTTGGTCAAAGGATTTTGGAGAGTAGCATTAACAAGATCAGAAGTTAGCCTAATAATCTGTCCTGGGCACAGGTTAAGCTGACAAAACTTCTTTCCAGGTGCCCAACTCTTTGTAAAAATTGATGTCACATTGGTTACCCTTACCAAGTCCTCTGGCATTGTTACTTGTTTGAAGAACAAGCTGTGAATTTTTCCTAGGTCATCTGTTTCTCATTGAACTATTTTCCTTGGATGCCATCAAAGCTTGGTAATTCATACCTTTGGTACTGAAGATATCCCAGGGTACTTTTGTCACCTCTGAGAAAGTCAACAGTCACATACCTGTCCTATATTTTGAAGAAAAATCAGTGCAAAGAATTAAATTTCTCTACAATCTCCGTAACATTCTTGAGGATCCCTTTCACTGCACTTCACCTGCTGTATGTTGTGATTCAAATATATTTTAATATTTTCAGTTGTTCCTCATTCCTGGACAATTTTCTTTAAAATTAATATAATACATAGTTGTAATATTTTTATGTTTGTTCGTACATAAATTTGTATGGCCACCCAGAGCCGCTTAGGTGAGACTGGCAGCCATACAAACCAAACAAAATTCGGGGGGGGGGGGGGGACATGAAATATTTAATGTATGGAATATTTGTAATATCTTTTTTTAGTGCAATTTTTAAAAAGCCTATTACTTTTACATTGCTTAAAGCAGTGTGGGCTTTAGTAACACAAGATTGGAATTCTGTGCCCGTGTTCATCGCATTTGGGGAAGCAAATTGGGTCAGAAGCCTTTTTTTCTTAACTAATTGCCTTTTGCTTTTGGAATGGTCAAATTCCGACTTAAGCAGCTTGGCAAAGAGATGGTGCATAGACCAGTGATGGTGAACCTTTTAGAGACCGAGTGCCCAAAAACCGCCCCAGCCCGCCCACGCTCTGCCCTTGCCCACCCACCTACAGGGCCACTCACTGCCTCCATGGCCTGCTGCAGCAAATCGCCCAGGCGGCCTTGCAGTGCCATGGCAGCCACGCCCGCAGCCCGCAGCATCATTTGCACACGATGGGGCACAAGGGCAGAGTCTTGTCCTGCTGCCCGGATGCCATGTCCTTGGCTACGCTGCTCCACAAGGGCCGGGCCGGGCCTGGGGCAGACTCTCCTCCGGGGGGGCCTGCTGGTGAGGAGGGGGCTGCAGGGGGTGGCGGGGCTGGGGCAATGGCATGCATACCCACAGAGAGGGCTCTGAGTGCCACCTCTGGCATGCGTGCCATAGGTTCGCCACCACTGGCATAGACTGTCTTAAGGCGAGACATCTGCAATGGAATGAACTAAGAAAAGGGGAAGGACTGTTATTTCTTCTCACAAAGGAAGAACTGGTGAAGGACAGATTTTCTCAAAGCAGAAGCAACTTTTTTCTCTCTTATTGAGCCAGTATAAAACACCAAAGTTGTTTTGTGATTTCCCTCAAGTTTCTCTCTAGTTCCAGGATCCCTGTATAGACATGCACATGTGTGTGTCCATACAAACACACACACACACACACTTCCACCATTTAGGATGCCTGTCCACTGTCCTCCACAGAAGGACGTGTGAATTACAGTGTTGCTACCAAAATCTGTCAAATTTAATATTAACATTTCTTTTTGGCTATTTCCTCACATGATCTTTTTCTTCTTAAAGAGGTACAGTAACCTACTAATGATTATATTATTAGACCGTCTTTTAAGTCATCTCTAACATTTTCTTAAAGCAGGTATCCATTTAGGAAAGCATAATTTTCCCTACTGCAACATCTATATAAATAAAAATGTAAATGTTCGTTTGTTCAAAATCTTAAATCAACGTTGCATTCGAATACGCGCGTGTTTTTATATACCTACTATTATATAGATGTCACACCTGTGACAGGTAAAAACATGTTTTTGAAAAACAGCGCCATCTGTTGGACGTAAAAGCAACACATGCTAGCATTTTGAAATTAAACATATTACAAACGTGCGCTTTCTCTTTTCTTTCTTTTCCATTTAACCAGACTGAGCCACAGCAACGCGTGGCCGGGTACAGCTAGTTTTGGAATAAAAAAATACATTCAGAAAACTTTTATTCCTTTGACAGTTACAGAACTGTCCTTTCCCTACCCATCCTCCTGCAGTTTTCAGCATTACAGATAGTATCACTGCAGAAAAGTCCTAACCTAGCGGGCAGGGGTTCCCATGGGTTTTACGTTCACACATTGCAGAAGATGCATTTGAAAACAAAGTCTTAAGTGATTCGCTTATTGCATCTACTCATTTTAGATGTAATTGTTATTGTAGAAATTGTATTGCTAAGATAAATCGCATTAAAATTGTTAAAAAGCCACCGTAAACTGCTCCTCCCTTCCCTAAAATAATGGAATCTATTATCTGAAATTTGAGGATCTGGAAGATCACCCCCACCCACATCCCACTGTTAGCAACAAAAATTCAAAACTGATCAGCTTTTTAAATATCTACTGAGAATAGGATTACATTTGGGGTTCTGACTGCATAGCAAACATGCTGCAAGGTTTTGAAAATACTTCAAGCAGCAGTTTGTCTGTCCTAATTGTACTGGTGAAATTGGATTATAGAGTAATTAGCTCCCAAGCACGCCGTCTCGAGGACCTGCCCTGGCATTTTTTTAAAAAACCCACTGAGTTCCAGCCCGGAAGTTTTCCTATCTTGACAGGCAAAACTAATCTCTCATTAGAATTCACAAGGAAAAAACTACCATTGTTCATAGCTATTAGAAGAAAATAGACTTCTACATCCCATTGTGCAAGATCCATGGGTGTGAAAAGTGGTTTGCGTAGAATATGAATCATTTTTGCCCCACTGCGTCACATGAGAGTTGCCGAGCAGGCTGTCCCAGTGCAGGGGCCCCCTGTCTCTAGGCTGAATAAGTGGGACTGTTCTGGAGGTAGCCGCCTCCCAGGGGAAGGAAAGCGCTGTTCCTCACATTCTACTTCTCTGGACGGAAGGAACAGGGAACTGAACCAAGGACAGAGCCGAGTTAGGGTCATGCCTGGAGTTAGTGGTCCAAAGGAGGGTAGCATTGATGTCTGCAAGTTGGCAGGTTGCCACACACAGCTTCCAGGGCGCACAGGAGGTTTGCTGCACAGTCCAGCTGGCTCACTTGGCCTTCTGGGCAGGTGGGCTGCCACAGACCTGAAGCTCTCTGTAGGAAGACAGAAAATAACAACCTTAATTGAAACCAGAATTTCCATCACTAAGCGATGCAGTCATAAAGCGCACTTGCTTTGCTTCGCAATGACAATCCGGGCAGTCCCGGTTGCGATTGTTAAATTAATGCCCTGGTCAGTGCCTTTTTTCAAAAAAAAAAAAAAAAAAAAGGTGCCGGAACTCACACATGTCATACAACCCGCCTTGTCTACCCTACAAGGTTCCATCCAAAAAGGGTGCTGGAACTCCGTTCTGGGCATTCTATGAGAAAAAAAGCCCTGGCCCTGGTTGTTAGCGAGATAACTTCCTGCCAGTGTCCACAATCAAGTCAGTGGGGAAGCCAGCAGGAAGGTGCAAGCTCCAAGTGCTACCAAGTGGAGGAGGGAGCAAGGGGTACTGGAGGACCAGGGCGGGTGTGCAAGGCCTCAGCTTCTGAAGTCTCTCTGCGCGGATTTTGGCGTGGACCTTTTTCAGCCAGAGACCAGAGGGAGTCCTCTTGACAGTCAGCTGCGGCTTGCAAGCTTCCCTGCCAGCCTCTCCAGTGACTTTCTGGCAAAGCCAGCAAGAAATACTGCAAATGACGACCACATGATCGCAGGGGGCTTGGCAACTGGCTGTAAATGTAAATGGGATGCCAAGCGTCCAGGGCACAGTCCGTAACTTCAGTTTGTCCATTCAGCACCATTGCAACTTTGATCAGGCAGAAGGAACAGCTGTATAGGTTAGGGCCGTGGTGGTGAACAGGTGGCACATGGAGCCCTCTCTGTGGGCACATGTGCCGTCGCCCCAGTCCTAGGCCTTCAGCTGGGTTTTATATAACCTTTTCGCTTTAGGCCTCCGTCGCCATGTGCAAAACAAAAAAAAAAGTTCAATCAATCAACTTCTTGCAGGAAAAAAAAGATCTCGCAAAGTTGGAATTGATTGAACTTTTTAGTCCCACCCAGTCTACCGTTACCACCACAGCCACGCCCACACAATGGGCCACGCCCACCTGGCACCCCATGATACATAAGTGGGTTTTGGGTTGCAGTTTGGGCACTCGGTCTCTAAAAGTTTCGCCATCACTGGGTTAGGGGCTACCTGCCTTCCCTTGAACCAAAGCACAGTCTCCGGGTCAGCCAGAGTTCATTTTGGGACAGCAACTGAGTGGGTGGCTGCAGTGGAGGAGCTGACCAGGGAAGCCCCAGTCTTGCACACAGCTGCGCTGTGATACTTACTAGGCAACTTCAGTGAGGTCACTGCCTCAGCCTAATTAAGCCTTGCTGGGTTGTGATAAATGATTCCTTAAATGTTACTCTGAGCACTTTAGAGGAGCCTACCTGATAGCTACCACCAGATTCTGGTGCCATTTGGCAAAATCCTCCTGATCGCAAGACATCAAGAGTAACTTTTTTCGTGGGAAGGAGAGCTGAAAAGAGAGAAAGGAGGACAGGAAACTGCTGGGTGTGACCAAAAGAAAGCATTCCCAGTTCACCCACCCCAGAGTCCCTGGCTGGGGAGTCACCCAATGCCTGCCATCTCTTCTGGGCACTAGCCACAGTGGTGCCTCCCACCTTACCCTCTATCGTAGATCAGCCATGGGTTTCAGGGGAGAGGAGCCAGCCCACTGGCAGAACCTGGGACTGGGGGAAGAGCACTTACACTGAGCAGCCCTCCTTGGCTCTGGGTGTGACCAAAGACCTTCTCCACAACGCAGTGACTGAGAGGGTAAACGGCCTGGCAAGCAAACTTGTGTGAATTCCAAGGATGGAGCGGGTGGCAAGGCTTGGCTAACAACAAGATATCAGAGAAAAGGAAGCACCTCCTGCGCTGCATCTCCTTCCCCTTGGAGGGGACCTCCATCAGCCAACCTTCCTGGAGATACCACCGCCCTGGATGGAGAAAGGACAAAAACCCAGGAACTTATTGGGTGAGCTCTGAAACCATCTGAGGTCCACTGGTGACTCCAGAAGTGGTTTCTCTGGGAAATGAAGCGTGATTAATGACACCGATCGCTGAGGCAAGCCACTGGCACACAATTCCAAAACTCAGCTGTGGACTTCAAAAAAACACTGTGAGACAGCATTTCCAAGTGACAGCTGGGTTCCTAACATGTCAGGAGATTTACTTTAGATTCCAAAATCCTCCATGAAATAAGATTTAAGGCAATGTATAAAAATACAAAAATATTAACATATGAAGGTATATGCAAAATGAGCTTACAGTAGATTTGCAATAGGAAACACCATATTTTGTGTATGTGTTTGTGTATGTATATCCCATTCCTGCCCTAGCTCCTGCCCACCTGGCAGTTAGAAAACATGTGAATGTGAGTAGATAGATAGGTACCCCTTTGGTGGGAAGGCAACAGTGTTCCGTGCGCCTTTGGCGTACAGTGATGCTGGTCACAGGACCACAGAAGCATCTTCAGGCAATGCTGGTTCCCTCAGCCAAGAAACAGAGATGAGCACTTGTGGCCTCTTTTGCAGGATCTCACCAATGTCCTCCATCCATGACTTTCTCCGTCTTCCTCTTGATACTTCCACTCCTCCTTTATGTTTTGCCATTTCCATCTCATTTTCTCTCTTATGACCAAGTCACTTGTACATCATTTTTTTCATGCTGGTCACTCTCTTTTCTATTCAAACTTCATTCATCCAGCACCCATTCCTTCTCAACGCATGTCTTCCATTGTGTGAAGCACCAACACCTTAAGTACCCCATTCCCATTGTGTTCAACTGGCTTCTGTTTTCTCTGAAATACCCAACTTTCCTGGCACAGTGACAAAATGACTTGAATGCTATGTATGTTGTATTTATTATACTTATTGACTTTTTTTGAAGGACAGCCTAAGTTAAAATCAAGAGAATTGGAAAAGGAAGGTCACACCTGTTTGTTTAAGCTGTTAACAGAAAGGTTTAAATTGGACAAGAATTATGATTTTCCAAATGAGAAAATTGTTTTTTGAGCTGGCATTGTGTACTGACAATAAACATGTTATTACTAATATGTGTAAACTTTTATTGAAAATTAATATGGAAGATGAATATGTTAAAGATTGTATGATTAAATGCGCAATAATTGGATATAATGCTCAATCAATGGGAGAATATGTGAGTAAAGAATAGAAACTTACATTGAATTATAATCCGAAAGAGCATTTCTGCAAGATGTATCTTTAGTATTTAGCACTGTATACATTGTCAAAGAAGTATAAAGAAGTGTCAAATATATTGTCAACTTCTGACAATCCGTTGCATCAATTGCTGGTTTTATTCAATGTCTGAACTGTGTTTAGTTATAGCCTCATGATGATAGTCTACTGTAGCATGAGGACTTGACAACCAACACAGAGGCCTCACCTGGAGCCAGCACTTGGGTCTTCCGTCCCTTCAGCTGTTTCTGAATCTGTCTCATCGCCTCCAGGTTCTGACGGACACGAGCAATTTCCTGGACTCGATGCAGGACCTCCAAGACAGACTTTAGGGCCCCTGCAAGTGACAGCATATCACATCCAACAGCACCGTAACCTGTTCTCCTGGCTGGCTCACTGGGAAGGCAACCCGGGCAAGACTCCAAGGTCCCCGCTGCCAGAGGCGTAGCGTGGGGGCTGCAGGGGGGGCCGGCCGCACCGGGCGCAACATCTGGGGGGGGCGCGCTCGCACTCGCAGCTCTTTGCCCCTGCCTGGCTCACTCACTCTCTCTGCAGTGCTGGCTGTGCGAATCCGATCCGAGCCGCCGGGTCACCGACGCCGCCCACTGTGGAGGGGGGGGTGCCTTGCCCCGGGTGCTGACAACCCACGCTACGCCACTGCCCGCTGCTGTGATCAACAGCTGCACAGCTGAAGGCAAAACCTCAGGAGGGCACTGCAGGGCTTAGTTAGAATCCTACCTTGGAGCTGGTCAAATCCAGTGCTCTCCGGGGGAGTCTGCTCCACCAAATCTTGCAGCAAGTGCTTGTACCTACCAAACAGATTATCAGAGGTGGAGGAGACCTAAGCGACTGCCTCTCAGCTGCACATCACAGATCCCAGCCTGTCCCCACACACACACACACACCATCTGCACCCCACCTTGCAGAGCAAGCAGTGAGGCAAAGCTCTTTCGGCCTTGGCACCCAGCAGTCTCTCTCGGGAGCCCATGGAGGAGTGGCGGGTGCAGGTTGGCCTCCCAGCCAGAGGAGATAAACTCTGCTGTAGGAATGGTTCTTTTGCCACTTACTGATGGAGCCTTTGTAGGGGCAGCGGCAGCAGTTCTTCCAGCCGGCAACCTTTAAGCTCTGGGCGAGATTCCTGAAGCCTCTTGAAGCGGGAAAAAGCTTTGTTCTTCCTTACCAGTTTCTGCAGATGCATCCCAGTAAAGGGGAGAAGCAGGTCAGGGTGGCTGACCAGCAAGTTCTGAGAACAGATCCCCAGCCTCGTCTCCAGACCAAGATCTTGGCTAAAACACAACCCAAGGATGTCCTTGGCTGCCAAGAGCAAATAGGTGCAAGAACAAATGGGGGGAGAGGGGAATGCTGGGCATAAAGTACTGCCTCCCCCACCCCATCTGACCTGCGAAGTCACCTGCAGTAAGCAATAAGGGCATACCTTCAGGATATTCTGGGCTGCTTCCAGATTCTCTGCATAATGGACATAGAACACCAGCTGGTGGCAGAAACTCTCAAGTCCTAATGCAAAATGGCCCCTGGTCAGGTGGAAAAGCAGCGTCCTGTAGGCAGAGAGAGAGAAGCCCTGAAGGAAACGGTCAGGGGCCGGTGCCCTTTCTGCACTCACCTTCTTCCAGGAAAAAAGAGGCCACCGCAGGCAGCTGCCTAACAGCAAGTGCAAGAACAAAGGGTTCAGCATAAAGAGAAGCAGAAAGTGCTCAGAGGTCCAACTTCTTCTGCTCAGTCTGTCTTGCGTCTTTGTGAGGCTCTCTATAAAGTTTCTTTGCTGAACCTGACCAATCACACCTGCCTTAAAAAAAAGCCACCTACACCTTTTAGGACAGAATCTACCAGCTGACAGAATGGCACTTGAGGGCCCCTTGGAGCTCTCTGAGCTTGGCTGTTTTCTTACAGATATTTCGTTATCCAAATTAGGTAAGATCTACAATGCTGGAGTTACTATGTAACGTCCTATCCATCACTGACGGAATTCCCTGGTTTTGGTAATGAAATGTCTGCTAGCAAAGAGCCAAGCTTCAAGGACCCATCACTTCAACCCTGCGCTAGAAATCTTTTCCTCTAATCAGAATGGGACTCCCCACTTCTGGTGGGCTGTAGGAAGAGTTTCTTTTTTAAGGATCTTGACAGCAACACCTGGGAAAATACTGGAAAAGATAATCAAGCAGAGGATTCATGAGCATCTAGTAAATGAACAAGGTGATTAATGGAAGCCAGCATGGGTTTGTTAAAAACAGACCATGCCAGACAAACCTTATTACCTACTTTGCGAGTGATCAGTAGCTCAGGGAAATTCTGTGGCTATAGTATACTTGGACTTCAGTAAGGCATTTGACAAAATAGACCACAGTCTGCTTCTTGGTAAGATAGAATGATGTGGGGTAAACAGTAGCAGTTGGCTAACCAAACCACACCCAGCATGTAGTCCTTAATGGGGCTATATCTACATGGAGGGAAGTATGCATTGGAGCACTTAAATTATCTAGAACAGGGCTTTTCAACCAGTGGTACAGGTACCACCTGTGGTCCATTGGCACCTGGCAGGTGGTACGCGACCATCCTAGAAAAGTGGTAGCGGGGGAGGGGAATGAGCTGAACCAGTGGCAGCACCGCACAAGCCTGAGCGAGAAATGGCTGGAGCTGCAGGGCTGTCAGGGCTCAGCAGAGGTGATCCTGGTGCTTCTGCTGAGCCCTGAAGAAGCACCAATCAGCTGGAAAGCGGCACTGATCCTGGTACTTCTGCTGAGCCCAGAAGAAGCGCCAATCAGCTGGAATGTTGTAGCATCTCCAGGGTCTTGTGATTTACATTCAGATGCTTGGCAACTGATTCATATTTATGACGGTCAGTGTCCCAGGGTCATGTGAAGTGACCAAACCCTGATGCAACCACCCAGCAGACGGGGGGAATAAAAACCAAACACCCCCCCACCCCATCCCCGCTGCCAATCCTCAACAGAAATACTCACAACAATGAAAACCTTGGACAGGAGGAAGAGCACCGCTGGGTGGGCAGACAAGTGTCTTGCTCGGCTGTGGCTTCGGGGGCACTTTTTCAGTGCCATTGTAACTTCAAACAGTCACTAAGCGAACTGTTGTAAGTCGAGGACTATCTGTACTTTATCACTTTTTTCCTTTTTTGGGGGGGATCATCAAGTTTTTGACACTTTGCTAGGCAACTGGTGGTACTCGGATGTTGCCATATCCTAAAAGTGGTACAATGGATGAAAAGGTTGAAAAGCCCTGATCTAGATGAGGGGATAGAAGGGGAACTCTTCAAATTTGCAGGTGACACCGAGCTGAGAGGGGGGAGGGTGTGGAATTGCCAACACTTTAAATGATAGAGTCAAGTTTCCAAAAGACCTTGGCAGACTTGAGCATTGGGCCCTATCCAACAAGATGCAGTTCACCAGTGAGAAAAATATGGTCCTGCACTTAGGCAGAAAAACCAAATGCGTAGGTATAGAATAGAAAGTACTTGGACTGACAATAGTAACTGTGAGAGGGATCTAGGAGTCCTGGGGGATCATTGCTGAGGTATGAGTCAACCATGTGCTGCAGCTGCCAAAAAAAGCCAGTGCAGTTCCAGCTGCATCAATAGAGAGATCAAGGGAACTGACAGTACCCCTCTATACTGCACTAGTGAGGCCACGCCTGGAATACTGTGTCCAGTTCTGATCAGGTTGATACAAAAGGGATGGTGAGGCCCTAGAAGGAATGCAGAGATGAGCAACAGAGATGATCAGGGGTCTAGAGGCAAAATCATACGATGAGCAGCTAAAGAAATAGATATGTTTAGCCTAATGAAGGGGAGACACGACAGCAGTCTTCCAGTACTTAAAGGGCTGCCATGGGGAAGAGGGCATCAATTTGTTCTCCATAGCTCCTGAGTGCAGGACAAGAAGCAATGGGTGGGAGCTCATCAGAAGGAGCTTCAACCTGGAAATAGGGATGAATTTCCTGATAGAGTGAGCAATCAATGGAACAGCTTGCCTCCTGGAATTGTGGAAGCTCTATTGCTGGAGGACTTCAAGACAAGAATGGACAACTACTTGTCCAGGAATAAGGACTCCTGCCTTGGGCAGGGGATTGGACTAGAAGACCTCCAAGGTCCCTTCCAGCCCTTTGTTTCTATGGTTCTATGAAATGGGGCTAACTCCTATCACTGCATGAAGATGTGCTAAGGCTCAGGAATTCTGGGAGTTGAAGTCCACAAGTCATAAAAGAGCCAAGGTTGCCTACCCCTGTGCTAAGGTATAATGTAATATTGTATGCATTTATTTCTTTTTATGCAAAAAGCACAATTTCTTTAATTATGGTTCTGCAACTTTAGTTTTTCTTGTTATATACATTTTATTAAGTTTATAAAAGAAGATAAATACTAACAAAAATTAATATAAAGAAAGAAGACAAAGAGAGAAAGAAGACCAAGGTGCAAAAAGAAAAGATAAAAAGAAACAGGAAAAAGAAGCTTCTGGTTTACTTTGTAGCAAACACAATATGGTTACGTACACCAACCCTTCCTCCATTGTAGGGAGTGCTGAATCTTTTGAGCATATTATATTCTTGCTGCAATTGTCAAATATAAAAACAAAGTTGCATGCCTTTTTTTGCAGCTGTCTATCCATTATTCCCAAAAGGAAAATCTTTGGTTTCAATTATACATTAGTCTTTAAAATCTACTGAATGAGTTCATCTATTTGTATCCAAAATGCTACATTTCCAACATACATTTGAAGTACCTTTAACATTTTAGACACAATCTCTGGTGACTTACACTAACAGTACATCATTTATAAAAATTCTCCTAAAATTAGAATATAATGTAAATTTTAATATTTTCAGCCATATAGTGAGAGTGTACTGTCCTCTCCCCACCCCCACCCCACCTCCAGGCCACAGTGCCACAAGGCTGACCTTACCGGCTGGCGGAGCAGATGGACTCCCAGGGTCCAAAGAGAATCTCATGGACGTCCGGGTTCAAGATCCCCTTGGCCTTCAGGGTGACCACAAAGTACTGAAAAGGGACATACAACCATTACTGTCCAGTTGAAGCTGAATACAACATTCCTATTTTCACTCTTCCTGCAGCATGGAGAAAATCTGGCTCGTTGGGCATGTCAGATTTGGTTCTTTAGTACTGCTTCTTAGTCAAAATAGTTTACTCAGTGCATCTACCTTATCGCTGATACAAGTAATCATATGCCTCTTGCAAGGTACACTTCAGAGAGCCTGTCCTAAAATAGAATTCCTTGAGCAAGTCTGAGCTAAAACTGGCCTTTGTTTATGCTATGACCCACTAGCCAAACTGTGCTAAGCTGACCAGGAATCTGGAGAAGACCATAACTCAGCACATAAAGAGTAAATGGTGATGAATTACCGAATAAAAAGCAAGAAATCAAAATAAATATGAGAGAGAGAGAGAGGGGTAGGTGGGTGGGTGAGAGAGAGCTGCTATTACAGTTTCTTCCCGTTGCTTTGTTTTGTTTTAAACATTTCAGTAAACTGCTGTTTTCAGTTGCCTTACGCAAGGGGAAGTAGGCATGCATTAGGGAAAAAATGCATTGGTGCATGGCTGAAGCTTAGGTTACTCCCTTTCCAGAGAGTTTGAGTAGCTTCCAGTATTAACAAAGATTAAAAATAAGTATCAATTCACTCAACGATGTTCAACCACTCGCCCCTTTGGGAGATCTCATCCCTTTTTTTCTTTTTCTTTTTAAGAGCGCGCTCTCCATAACCGGGCTGCTCCAAAGAAGAGAAGCCCCTAAACCCGGGCCGCTCCCTCGGCCTTTTTCCTTCCGGGAAGGGTCGGGGGGTCCTGCCACGTCCCTCCCCGCTTGCCCCACGAACGGAGCCCGCCCGCCGCACCCACGGGCACCCAGGAACGCGCAAGAAGCGCCGGAGCCTAGCGCCCCCTGAGCGGCGGGCGCCTGCCGGGCGCCCCCTCCTCACCGTCGCGACCCCTTCGAGCTGCTCCAGGTACCGCCCTTCGGTCCGGAGCAGCTCCTCCGTTCGGCCGCGGCGCTGCAGCTCCGGCGAGGAGCCGCGGCTGCGCCCGGGAGGGCCCGGATCGGAGGCGCTCATCCCCGGGAAGGAGGGTCCGTCGCGGGTTCGGCTTTGGACCCGCCGGGAGCCCAGCGGAGGGAGAGAGAACGCGCTGGCGCCGCCGCCCTTCTCGGGCAAAGTAGCCGAGTCGCTCGGAGTAGCGCCACTGAGGCTCCCGCCCGCGTTCAAACGGCCGCCCAGCGCCGCCCCTTCCGGAGCCGGGAGGGAGGGAGGGAGGGGAAGAGGCTGGGGCAGGGGTAGGCAACACCTCGGCTCTTTTATGACTCGTGGACTTCAACTCCCAGAATTCCTGAGTCAGCTACGCTGACTCAGGAATTCTGGGAGTTGAAGTCCACGAGTCATAAAAGAGCCGAGGTTGCCTACCCCTTGGCTGGGGGAACGGCTGGAGCAGTTTTGTAACATAGTATCAGGACCTTTTCATTTGAGCATTTGCACTTTTATTAAGGCTCAGAAACCGCGTCTCCGTTTGGTTTCTTTTCAGTTGGCCGTTTTGCACGTCCTTGTTCCACCGGCCTTGAGAGTCGCTTAGCCAGGGAAGTGAGATCAAGTGCCCATTCCCGCTTCACAACACAAGAGAGCAAACCCATCAGGGCAGGATTCAGCAGTCCATCTGCATTTAAAAGGCAAAGGCCACATTTTGGACAGAGAGGACCGCTGGTTTGAACGAGGGGTCCAAGAGGTCAGGGATCTCCAACCCCCTGTCTGTGGAGCGGTACCGGGCCACGGCATGCCAGCAACTGGGCAGCACAAACAAGCAAAGCTCCATCTGTGGGATACAGGCAGCACACAAAACCACACCCCCTCCGGTCTGTGGAAAAATCTCTCTTCTGTAACCGGTCCCTGGTGCCCAAAAGGTTGGGGACCTCTGATCTAGGTCAAAATTGAACATAGGAGGAGGTCAGTGGGAAAGCCAGGATGTTCCGTGTGGGGAGGAGAGGACCTGGCACCCTCCCTGCTAAGAGATGGGGGGAGGCTCTAAGTTGCCAGTGGAACCCCCAACTCCCCTCTAGCCAGACTCAAGTTGGGGAGAAAGTTCAGCATGCCAGCCTGTCACCTTCCCCCTGGAAGTGTGGCCCCTTGCCCTGTTGGGTTCTTCTTCTTCTTTTTTTTAAAGTTTTTTATTAATAAAACAATTAAAACAAAAAAGGACATGACATGACGTTCCAGTATATATAATCCTAACAATTCATTCCTTATCATATTTAAAGTTCTATATATACATCTCTCTATATATATATATATACATATATTCCCCTATATAATACAATATTATACAATCTCAAGCTTGTTTCTCTATATATTAACATATAATTTTATATATCACAAACTTAAACTTTAACTCAAAACCCGAACAGTTCTTCTTGACTCATACCAACAGTAAAATTTGTCCCAGATTCCAAAATAGTCCGTTTCTGTCTTGTCCTTTAGTTCCATAGTTAGCCTGTCCATGTCCGCACACGATAAAAAAATTTGTAGAATCTCTTCTTCAGTAGGAATTTCTTTGTTTCTCCAATTTTGTGCATAGGTCAGTCTGGCGGCCGTGAAGATGTGTAACATTAGGTAGAGTGTCGCCCTGTTGGGTTCTTCTTCACTGTCCTGAACTCACTTTCTCAAGCTGCATTTAATGCTGGCTGGTATCAAACAAAGACCCTGAGAATGGTGCAGGAAGCCCCCTCCCCAGTGGGCTTCTGCATTGCAACAGAGAAGACCACGTGCTGCAACTGGGCACAGCTGGAGGGAGAATCAGGTTCAGTGGCAATGAATATTCCAGGTTTTGTAGAACAGAATCAAGGGTAAATTAGTAACTTTTATCCTCAACAGAGAGTAAACCCCCCCCTCTCCTTTCTAGCACTGATGATGTTACCTAGTTGGGTCATGAAACGTCTCAAGAAAATAGCCAACCTTAGAGAGCACCAAGGACCCTACAATTCAATCCTGAGCCACGGATATTCCCTTCTATTGGTAACATTTGTATATGTGTATCATTTTTTATTCTTTTTGCTTTTTTATTTTTTTCAAAAAGAAATAACTTTTGCAGAGGGCAGAGAGTATAGCAGTGGTGGCGAAGCTATGGCACGGGTGCCAGAGGCGGCACGCAGAGCCCTCTCTGTGGGCATGCGTGCTGTTGCTCCAGTCCTAGGCCTTCAGCTAGGTTTTATAAAACCTTTTGGCCTCCGCCGCCTTGTACAAAAAAGAAAGGTTCAATCAATTAGTCAATTTCAACTTCTCACGGAAAAAAAATCTTGCAAAGTTGGAATTGATTGAACTTTTTAGTCCCACCCAGTCTGCCGTTACCACCGCAGCCACGCCCACCCAATGGGCCACACCCACCCGGCACCCGACTATGCATAAGTGGGTTTTGGGTTGCAGTTTGGGCACTCGGTCTCTAAAAGGTTTGCCTTCATTGGAGTATAGCCTTGAAGGGCAGGAGGCAGAACCGTTCCCAAGGCAGATAAAAGAGGACTGAGTCTGGGGCGGGATTGTAATCTGAATAAACCTCTCAGTCCTGCCCAGATCTCAGGGGGGGTGGAGGAAGTGAGTGGGGAAAGTGCCTTCAGCACAGGCTTTCCATGGTGTGGAGGAATGGGAGGAAAGAGAACTGTGGATGCCACTTTGTGCTCCTGAAGAAAAGGTGGGATATAAATCTAACAGACAACTACCGTAGGATCCAGCTTCCTTCCCCACTTGCTGTTCTTTTTAAGGTCTCCTGGACTTTTCCAGAGAGCTTCTCTTCCTGGTTTCCAGTTAATCTCTAACCTCTGCTTTATCTGAACTCGGAAGGCCACTGCACCTGCTTGTCTCGGTGGCTGCTTTCTGATGATGCTGGTAGTGGATTTTATTTTATTTTATTTTATTTAAAAAAAAGGTTTTCAAAAATAGATGCAGTTAGTTGGTGTTATGCAACATTTTAAAAAGCAGATCTAAGATGCGAAAGCAGGCTTGTAAGGCATTGCTGTGTTGATCCAATCAAAGATTAGGGAACGTTCACATTTCAGAAGTGTTTTGTCGTTGCCAGATGAAGGTGCATTACAGGTGCTCCCAGGTTTGGCTTATGGTCGCTCACAGCCTTTTGAAACTTGCTTTTTACCTGGGATTTCCAGGTAAGCACAGGTAGAACAGATGGGACACTCAGCCCTGGGCAACAACTGGGTGATAATTATGGATGTGCACAAATTGCTTTGAAACAAACACAACAAATTATCTGGGATATTTGGAGAATCAGCTCAGGACTGAATGTTGTGGTGCCCCATTCAATCCAGTTTGATGAGGAACCACTGATGAGTATGAATTTTAACTCAGGAATGTATCAGTTTCATTGTCATGTTATGTAGCCCACCAAGATGTTATGTGCTACCCAAATTCTTATGGAATTGGCAGCTTTCCGAAGCAAATAAAGAGCTTGTGATTCAGAATACCATAGCCTGATTTGTCAAACGTTTTGTTGAAAACAAGATGTCTACAGAATCCCCACTATCCACTAAGGAAATTGATTAGGTAATCAATAAGGTAATAAGGTCTGGCAAATCCACGCTGACTCTCGGGAATTGCTTTATTCTTTAAGAATTATTTGGTTTGTTCCAGAGCCTGACAAATCCCATTGTGCTCCCTGGGGGGAATAAGCAAAGAACATCAGGAGTGTATAAGAGCTCCCCCCCCCCCAGCTTCTCTCTTGTAAACCAGACAGGAAACACGATATGCTAATTCAGACATGTCAAACACAAGGCCCAGGGCCCGGATGCGGCCCGGGAAGTGGTTTCATGTGGCCCGCGAAGCCATCCTGGAAACAGTGAGGGAACGGCCCCCACTGCCTTGGCCCTGGCCCAGGCCGGCTGGGAGCCAATGTACAATTTTGTGGTGGCCATCTATGCTGAAACGCATTCAGTCCTAACTCCACAAGGCCGTCTGGAAACAGCGAGGAACCAGCCCCTGCCGTGTCGGTCCTGCCCCCTGGGTGCATGCTGGGGAGGTGTCACCCTTTGTGAGGAATGAAGAAATGGACCACGCCTTGGTGCTTGCCCCGGTCCCACCCTCTTCTGCCAGAGACCCTCAGATCTGTCCCACTCCTGCCCAGGCCCCCACAGGCACCATGCCCACCCAGTAGGCCACACCCACTCCATCCACGCCCACCCAGTAGGCCACACCCTCCCTGGCCACACCCACCCACCCCCCAGGGCAACTGCAATGCTGATGCAGCCCTCAATTAAATTGAGTTTGACACCCCTGTGCTAATTCTACTTTATTGTAAAGAAACAATAATAGAATCTTGCGAGTCTGAAGGTACAAACTTCCCACCACCACTTTTAACCATCTGATCTGTCAGGGCAGGTCCTTTCTCTGACTGTTAAGTCACTGAGGGTTTCTGCCTATCTTGTCTGATGGTTTCCTGGGCAACATCTCTTCCCCTTGTTCCCCATGGTCAGCCACGCATTGTATCACAACAAATGTCAAGAACAGGGGTAGGCAACCTTGGCTCTTTTATGACTCGTGGACTTCAACTCTCAGAATTCCTGGCTCAGGAATTCTGGGAGTTGAAGTCCACGAGTCATAAAAGAGCCAAGGGTGCCTACCCCTGGTTCAGAGCATATATATGGTATAAGTGTACATATGAATTGAGATGGTGGGCACTTTCAGTGAGGAGTTGAACACTGTTTATTACTCAGGACCTGAAAAGAAGAAAGGGTGTTCCTTTTATAGCTAGAAAAAGCACAGCGAGAACAATACTGGGTTACAGTGCAATCAATGGCCAAATAATATCAACCAGGCTTTGTGGACAACCCTTTAACCACCCGCCGATTATCCGAGGTTATGCTCTAATCCAGTAATGGCAAACCTTTTAGAGATCGGGTGTCCAGAAACCACAACCTCTGCCTCCCGCCCTGCGTGCTCCACCCCCACCCACCCCCTGCCCCACCTGCCTGCAGGGCCACGCACCGCCTCCATGGCCTGCTGCAGCAGATCGCTAGGCAGCCCTGCAGCACCATGGCAGCCATGCCCTCTGCCCACAGCCCGCAGCATCACCTGCACGCTATGGGGTGCAAGGGTGGAGTCTTGTCCCTGTTGCCCGGGGGGGGAACTCTCCTCCAGGGGGGCTGCTGGTGAGGAGGGGCCCATGGGGGGAGGCGGGGCTGGGACAACGGCATGAGTGCCCACAGAGAGGGCTCTGAGTGCCGCCTCTGGCACCCGTGCCATAGGTTCGCCACCACTGCGATGCAGAAGAAGAAGAGTTTTATGATGCTGTGGTAATTGGAGACTGGAATGCCAAAATTGGAAACATTAAAGAGGAAAATGTCTTCCCTTTGCACCCCAGACAGACCCAGATTCTCAAACCGCCCCTGCCAGACCCCTTCGCCCTCTTGGTAGCCCGCTTCTGAACTTGCAACCTTTCCATACAGCTCCGACTGCCAAGGCAGCAGGCTTCTCCTTTCGCTGGGGGCGGGGGGGGGTACTTGAAGAGCGGATGGCAACGGGAAGAAAGAAAGGGCGCGATCTTGCTCTCTTTCACCGCAATGGCTGATTTGGAGCCACGAATCCGGAGTACGACTGCGGGGGAGCGCCCTGAGCTTGGCGAGAGGGAAGTGTCACTGCTGGGGCGGCCCTTGGAGGCTGCAGCGAGCAAGGCCTCTTGGGAAGAAAGCAATTAACCAGTGGAACAACCTGCCTCCAGAAGCGGTGAATGCTCCAACACTGGAAGTTTTTAAGAAGAGACTGGACAGCCATTTGTCCAAAATGGTATAGGGTTTCCTGCCTGAGCAGGGGGTTGGACTAGATGACCTCCAAGGTCCCTTCCAACTTTACTATTATTATTATTATTATTATTATTGTTATTGTTATTGTTATTGTTATTGTTATTGTTATTGTTATTGTTATTATTATTATTATTATTATTATTATTATTATTATTATTAATTATTATTATTATTATTATTATTATTATTATTACCAGCCCAAGGGAACGGGCGCCGGGCGGCTTGGAGGAGCCGGCCGGGTGAAGTCCTTCCAGGCTCCCCCGGGCTCGTAGACACGGCCATTCCGAACAGACCGGCCGGGGCCGAGCCTAGGGCGGTCCAAGCGCCCGGCCCGGCCCTGCGAGAACCGACCGGCAGCCCCTCTCGGTCGTGGAGCTGCCGGCCGGACAGCTGCGCGCACGGAGAAAGCCCCTCGTTTCGCGTCGTCTTTAAGCTCCTTCCGACTCGACCTCCCCCCCCGCCCGCATGAGTGGGGCAAGGGGCGAAACGCCGATCCCCGACGATCAAAGGACTCAAGCCACGCCTTTCCGCGGGGAAAGGTTGCCCGCTTGGAGGTGCGTCGGTGGGCGAGGCGGAGTCCAGTAACCGGTCCTGTGACTTAGGAGAGCGCGCAAAAGGCGCTTTTCTATAGCCTCGCCCAAGCCTGATGTTATCCAGGAGCGATTCGGTTATTCGGCCAATGCACGATTCAGCTTGTATGTCTTACTTTTCATTTGTTCGTTATTTATATACCGTCCATCTCGGTCTTTGGGGCGACCCGTTGCTGCCCAGCGTGGCAGCAGCCAGCCTGGAGGCTTTCAAGCTGCCAGATAAGTTCCTGGTGGTCAACAGGGTTAAATTACGTCGCGGCCGTCGGATTTCAATTTGTCCCGGACTAGATTTGATAAATTATGTTGAATCGGCCACATCGTACAGGGCAGCCTGGAGACCTGCTCTTTCCTCTTCTGCAGGCGTGGGGGTGGGAGTTAAAATTATAAAATTATAAGCTGCAACGAAACCGTTGCACCCCGGTGGTAGAGACCCAGTGGAGTGCCCGGTGAAGGGTGGGCGAAAGGGCTGCTGCTACTGCATCATCCTGGGTCCGGTCCGGCCTCCAGAGCAGCGCTGCCATTTACGAAGAGGCTCGCCCAGGATGTTGGCGTGGAGTCTTAAGGAAACGGAACGCGACCTGCCTGGGCTGCCCCGTGGCGCGGGAAGAAGGATCTGGGAATCGCTCACTTCCGGGAGATTTTGGCCCAAGCTCGTTTCTTGAGGGCGAGTATTCCTACTAAGGTCCAAGCCACCGGGATCAGGATCGATCTGAGGACTGTGCGCCTTGGCTGTCCCGTTATAATAATAATAATAATAATAAAGTTGGAAGGGACCTTGGAGGTCATCGAGTCCAACCCCCTGCCCAGGCAGGAACCCTACACCATTTCAGACAAACGGCTGTCCAGTCTCTTCTTAAAAACTTCCAGTGTTGGAGCATTCACCACTTCTGGAGGCAGGTTATTCCACTGGTTAATTGTTCTGTCAGGAAGTTTCTCCTTAGTTCTAGGTTGCTTCTCTCCTTGATCAGTTTCCACCCATTGCTTCTCGTCCTGCCTTCAGGTGCTTTGGAGAATAGCTTGACTCCCTCTTCTTTGGGGCAGCCCCTGAGATACTGGAACACTGCTATCATTTCCCCCCTCGTCCTTCTCTTCGTTAAACTAGACATACCCAATTCCAGCAACCGTTCCTCGTATGTTTTAGCCTCCAGTCCCCTGATCATCTTTGTTGCTCTTCTCTGTACTCTTTCCAGAGTCTCAGCATCTTTTTTACATCGTGGTGACCAACGGACCAGGGACCGTTGAAGGTCCCTGGTGCATCCCGCTGTTAGCTCCACGAATCCCCAAAAGCCGCAGGCGTCCCGCCGCCGCAAAAAGAAATTCTTCGCCGGATTAGCCCCCGAGACTAATAATTTCAAAGGGCCGCACGGGTTCCTCCTCGCCTCGCCCTTCCTCCAGGGTCGGTGGGTGGCGGAGAGCGCTCGGGGGGGCTGGGAGAGCGGGAGCCGGTTCCCCTCAGGGCCCTCTGCCCCAGAAGCAGCTTCCAGCGCCCGCATCTTCCTAAGAGACTGGGCGGCCTTGGTGCACCTTCCAGCCACCTCTCAGCCCTCCAGCAATGCCGCTCCAGGCGCAGAAGGCCGGTTCTGCCTAGAGAAAACGACAGGACGGAGCAAAAAAAAAAAAAAAGCCTCCGGGCGCGGGAGGCTGGCAGGGGTCCCCTGCTCGGAGCCTAGGCTGACCACTCAAGAAGTCCCGTCTCGTTTGGGGTTTGCTGACCCTGGAGCGCATCCTTCTCGCCTTCTGGTCTCCCAGATTGGATCGGGTGACTTTTCTTCTGCCTCGAAAGACGCCTGGCCCCGAAAAATTGCCCGGTCCAAATCAGCCTCTGGAGGAGGAGAGCGGCCTTTCCTGCTCAAAGTCCACGAGGACGCGCCGTGCAGGAAAAGGGAAAGTGGGGGGGGGGCGTGACCAGCCTACCTGCGGGCGGGGCGGGGGGAGGATCCCTGTGGCCACGGCTACTCAGCCAAGGGTGGCTGGAAGGTCCCCTGCACCCACAAGCGAGGTCGAGCGGCGATGCGTGAAGCCTCGGCCCGGGCCGAGAGGGGGCATCTTCTTCCCGCGGAGCTCTTGCACTTCCCTCCGCGGGCCAAGACGGGGCGGCGCGGCGCGGCACGATTCCCTCGCTATAAAAGGCGGCAAGTCCCTTGGATCTCCGGGAGACGCTCCACGGCGACGGACTCCCGGCCTGGCTGGCTGCAGACGCGACCTCGGGCGCAAACCAAGATGCGCAACTCGCAGAAGCCGGGTCTCCGGTTCTCCTGGTTGCAGCTCCTGCTGCTGCTGCTGCTGCTGTGGGCCGCCCGGCGACCTTGCGCAGCGGACGAGGAGGAGGAGGAGGAGGAGAAGAAGAAGGACGCAGGTGGGTGAGAGGCGGGCGCGGCGGCGGCAGAATTCCCCCTCCACCCCCGTCGGGGCTTCGTTTCGGACCGTCAGCTCCACCTGCTGCTTCAACGGCGGCTGCCGGCAGGGCTGCTCCGATTTGGACGGTCTGAGGGGGGCAACGTCCTTCCCGCAACACCCCTCCGTCAGTCCGCTCAGTGGGGATGCGGTAGGGGAGACGGATCCCCCGCTCTCCGTCCGAAGAAGCCCTTGAAAACTCCTCCTCGGATCTCCCGCGGGGCCGCACCGGCTGGAAATGAGGGTGGTCGCGGGGCAGGACCAGTGGCAGTCGGGAGTCGGGCAAGGCCGACTTCCTGGGCACCAGAATGCCGTTGGCTGCCCGCCGCCTGCGACTCCCTTTCCCGGCGGTTCTGGAGCAAAGTCTGCTCCGGAGTCAAATTTTTAAACCGGCCGCGCACTCCAAGGCAAACAGAGCGGTAGCCGTGAAGACGCCAAAGGCTCTTGGAACAGAAGGGTCCCTGGTGTGTGTGTGTGTGTGTGTGTGCGTGCGTGCGTGTGTGCATGCTATGGACTCCATGCGGCAACCCAGCGAAAATATCCTTAGTGACAGGTTGGTCGCCTGTCTTTTGCTTGGAGCAAAGTGTGCCCAGGAGCATGGTCTTTGGTTCCCCTCTGGAGCTGTCAGGATGTTCAGCTGCCCAAGGCCAACGACCTGCTTTCTTTGTGTGTGTTTGCGTGTGTGTGTTTTCTTTAAAACAGTAAGCTTTTCTATTTGGCTTGTAACTCTGAGAAGTGCGGCCTCTGAGTTCCAGAATGTGGATGGTTTGTGCAGCTGGAAACCTTTTCTTCCTGTTAGGAACCTTTTCCGTAAATTTGGGAGCTCCATTTCCAGGTCCAGGTCATACCCATCCCTGTCCCTGCTGGGTAACCCAAAGGAGGGTCCTTCATCTAGCAATCTCCTCCAGTTAGCTTTTACCGCTTCTGAGTATCTGCCTTTGGTCCCTTGGCTGAGGGTAGCTATTCAATTTAGAGTACTCTTAGTCTGAGAGAGACTAAGTAGGGAATCACGTTATAGGACAGTTGCATACATGGCTGCTCAAAAGTAACTCTTGTTGTATTATGGAGGTTCTCTGAGTTAAGTTTGGGGTTGCAGATGTTCCTATTGGGCAACATAGTCAGTGCAGGAGTTTTGAAAGCGATATTATTGAGCTCCAAGTAAACAGGTGTAGGATTGCAGCCTAAAGACTTAATTGCAGAGTAAAATGTTCTCCCCGTTGTGGATCATTGGTGGGGCTGATCCCGAAGGGCTCACTGCCGTACAGCCAGCCAGCCCTAGTGAAAATGTTTAGCACAGGCTTTTCCTCCCGATTTAATTTCTATTCTAGTGGTGGCGAACCTATGGCACGGGTGCCAGAGGCGGCACTCAGAGCCCTCTCTGTGGGCACGCGTGCTGTTGCCCCAGTCCTAGGCCTTCAGCTGGGTTTTATAAAACCTTTTCGCTTTAGGCCTCTGCCACCATGTGCAAAACGAAAAAAGGTTCAATCAGTCAATTTCAACTTCTCGTGGGAAAAAAGATCTTGCAAAGTTGGAACTGATTGATTGAACTTTTTAGTCCCACCCAGTCTGCCATGACCACCGCAGCCACGCCCACCCATTAGGCCACACCCACCCAATGGGCCACACCCACCCGGCACTCGACGATGCATAAGTGGGTTTTGGGTTGCAGTTTGGGCACTCGGTCTCTAAAAGGTTCGCCATCACTGTTCTATTCTGTTCAGTAGGATGATGGGGCCGCGCTTGGATTGGCATCTGTGGAAACGGAAGGCACTTGACTGAATTTGAGTTGCGGTGTGCAGTCAGGGTAAACCCACCCACCCACCCCCCAAAAAAGCTGGGAGGGCTTTTTCCCAAACATTCCTAGGAAGGCAGTGGCAGAAGCTTTTCAGATGAAGGGCCCGCTTTTAAAGGGTCCCTGTGTGTCCATCCAGAATTGAGCAGTTCTTCTCTTGTGCATGGGCAGTTGGACAGCCATGGCAGTTCCATGCTGTGCCAGGTCTTCTCTTTTCTACTTCTGGTTCCCAGATGACCACCCTCCCCCGTCCCAGAAAACATGGCTGGTCACCCACCCACCGACCCACCCCCTCAGTCACTCTGGAAAGAGGATGCTGGGCTTCTGGGCACTTCCCACACTCTCCGTGGCTGTGCTGAGCCAGGTGGCTTTCCACTGAGCTCTCATGCACTCAGGCGCTCCTACCGTAGTAGATCCCTTCCCCCACCTTCTTTGTACAGTTCAGTCACAAAACAGGCCACTGAGTTCCAGCGGAGCTCTGTGAAGAGCAAACTGCTGGGAGGGGCATTGAGGGAGGAAGAAAAATCCTGGGGTGGGGTGGGTCCTGCAGGGAAGCCCCTCCAAAGTTTGGCCACCTCGTATCAGCATGCCCCCCACATGTCAGGTGGAAAAGGTGAGGATGACCGTCTGAGGGGCTCCAAGGCAGTCACAGAGGCTAAAGGGGGAAGGGGTGGCTGCAACTATCTGCTGCCTCTCCCCCCACTTGAGCATAGGGAGAACCTTGCAAGAAATTGCTCCCCCCCTGCACCCCCCCCACTCCCGTCCCAGGTCTAGACAGCACCACTGCCAGGAGAGGACTGTCTCCATCCAGAGTTGCTTGGTGTAGATTACAGAGGTCCCCAACCTTGGCAACTTTAAGACTTGTGGACTTCAACTCCCAGAATTCCTCAGCCAGCCAAGCTGGCTGAGGAATTCTGGGAGTTGAAGTCCACAAGTTATAAAAGGGCCAAGTTTGAAGACCCCTGCCATAGTGCATGTTTCTTACTGAGTTTAGAGCAGTCAAAACATGTATCACTTTTGTGAATATATAGACACAAACAGGAATTCTGGGAGTTGAAGTCCACAAGTCTTAAAGTTACCAAAGCTGGATGGAGACCCCTGAAGGTCGCACAAAACAGCTCAGCAAGGTAGCTCTGATTCCTGAGCTCAAGTGGGAGAAGCTGCCACTCTTCCTTAGTGAGCCTTCCCTTCCCCCAGCCAATCTCCTTCCTTTGCAGCCCCCCCACCCTGTGGAAGGCCCTCTGACGGACTCCCACCCTTTCTGGATTTAAACGCGCACCTGAGAAGACCAGGCTTGTTCCCCAAGCATGGGGACGGGGCAAGGGGAAAAATCTTTGGGCTCTGTCAGGAAAGGGTGGAGGTGGTGCCAGGTTTTCTTCTTTTATGATTGTTTCTTGTATTTTATCCCCACTTGTAAGACACCCAGAGTTTGGTTTAAGATTTGCAAATGTTTTAAATAAATGGATTCCGGGCTGCCTCCCAGACTTCCCATGGAGGGGGGAGGGAAGAATCTCTTGGGCTGCCCTTCTGCCTCCTTAACCTCTTCCAGGGGCAGCCAGGAGATGTTGGGGGGGGGGATGTGATGTGCAACTGTTCACAGATCAGCCTAGGTTTCCATCTGAGTCTGCAATGCACAATTGCTCTGCCTGATTCATGGCCTTTTTTAGGGGATCCATGGATGGCACCTCTACGTAGTAACTCGCCAAGGCTATTTTTTGCAAGCAAAACCAAAAGTTTTAAGGCGGGATCGGCAAAAAGGCTGTGGTGCTATTGGAAATTCTGTCTGGAAGACTTCTAAGCCCCATAGCTGACAGGATATCCCTACCCTGCCTTCTTGGAGGGAAAAGGACAGTCCTGGGTGCAAAAAAAAGGGGGGGGGAATCCTTTATCCATGGTTAGTATTTACTTCTTTCTTTACATAAGATTAGCCTGCAGGATCGGGTCAAGATCCTTCCGAGTCTGTCTCTCTCCCAGGGGCACTCAGGTGCTTTGCAAGCAGACGTCTGGGGACGCAACCCCCTCCTGCCACCTGCACTATACTATACCCTCCACTGGGGTTGGAGGGAGGTTGTCCCCACCTGGAGGTGACACTTGCCCATGAATTTCTTCAGCCCTCCCCCCCCCCCATTAAATTAAACTAAATTAAAACCATCAAAACTTGTGGCCATCTCTACTTCTTACGGCAATGGCTTGCCAGTTTTATTATGCACGGGGTGGAGATGTATAGTTGCAATTCCCTCGTTACACACTGCACAGGATTTCATACCTGGATCATTCACCCCTGCCCTCCCCCCTCCCATCTGGCAGAAAGCAGCTTGGCTGGGTGGCAGCGCAATGAAAACTTTGCCTCTGCCAGCCGGTACCCAGGTGGAAGCAGTCCCAGGTCTTTTGAAAGGCAAAGATCTGGTGGTTTTAGACTGGCGTTTCCCCCCGCAGGTGGCTCCGATCCAACCTCAGGACTCCTCTGGGGGTCACCAGGGGAACCTGTGGAGGAGCCCCAATAAAAGAGGGAGGCAGGTGCCCTACCTCTTTAGCTCAACATCCAACCTCTGGCCCCGGGCTATCACTCCAAGTTTTTTTACCTCAATCTACCATGCGGTTCCCCATGTCAAAATTAAAATGGAGTGGAGGAGGGGCAAGGAGAACCTCCTGATTTTGCTTTTCTGGGGAGGAAAGGGTGTCTGAGCAACTCCAGTCAGGTTCTCTTCTTTGCTCCCCAGGTCATCCAGGGCACAAAGACCATCACTGGAGCTACAAAGGTAAAGGCCTGGTCTCGCTCCCCTGGGCCCCTGGCCAGGTGAAGGCTGGTTAATGATCAGCCAGATCTGGTCACACCTGCCGCTGGTCTTCTCCAGCTACTGAGCCCAAAGCCTGCCTGCCTTGGCATATCTGGGCCTCAGGTTGTAGCAGCAGCGAAGGCCCGTTCCTGTCCCTCACCTGCCCCCCCTCCCTCTGCAGCCATTCCTTAGCTACTGCAGGTCATTATTCATACCCACCTGCCCGCATTGTCCCTGCAGCAGAGGCGATAACAACTGTCCTTGCACTGAGCCCCCCCCCAAGGGCATCTGACTGCATTCCATGGGTACCTCCCTCCTTCCTTCCCTCCCTCCCTCCTGCCTGCCCAGCTCAGAGTCAGCCCACCTGCACTTACAGACTGGAGGTGAGCCTCCTGGCTGCTGCCCAGATCGACCCCAGGATCCGGCTGCTTCCCTGGCACCGTAGCCTGGCAGAACCGGCTGCTTCCCAGTTTCAGCCAGTTCATGCAGCAATTGAGAGGTAGCTGTGAAGCTGGGAAGACGCATGTGATGTCACCACCCCAGAAAAACCGCCTGGAAGCGCCCGTGGTGTCCTTCTCGCTCTATCCTGCATATTCTGGAAGAGCAGCAGAAGTGAGGCTGACCAATCTCCACTTTTCCTCCTTGTCAAGCTTTCTCCCCCTTCCTAACCCCCACCCCACGTTGCCCGCCCTCTCAGGCAGGTCAATGGCTGTGAGGCCCCTGAAGCGTGTTTGTCTCTTTCAGACATGCCAGAGTGGGGGTCCATGTTTCCCAACTGTGAGGGTCACATGCAGTCTCCCATCAACATCAACACAACAGCTGTCAGCTTCAGCGCCAAGCTGGAACCCCTGCTACTGTCTGGCTACAATGTGCCTCCTGAAGTGGAGCTTCCCCTGAAGAACAACGGCCACACTGGTGAGCATCACGGAGCTGCTGAGGATCAGCTGGGATTCGCGTCCCAGGAAGCTCTAAACAGGTGACCAGGGTGGTTCCTCGTTCAGAGTTCTTCCTGCTTCCTTGGACAAGGGCCACCTCATTTGCATCTGGCCTTCCTTCCCATAATTGGGCTTCTTGTGAAAGCAGAAGCTTTGGGCTTCTTGTGAAAGCAGATTGTGCCTGGTGCCAGGTTTGGCTTTTGAGTCTACACTACCCTTGCCCTTACCCCACGGAGGGTCCCTGACAATGACGCCCAAACTCCAGAATCAGATTTCTCCCAGATCACCTAGCTAAGGGATCCTTCCAAATGAGAGGGATTGGAAAGGGGTTGCGAGGTGCAAGCAAACAGGAGGTCAGGCAAGGTCACTTACATCACAGAGGACAGGGTGAGGCTCTGATTGCATGGCTATCACTGTCCTTTTTTTAATTACTTGTTTTAATTATAAACACAACCTCCAAGCACCCCTAGTCACTGTTCAAGTTGATTGATTGATTTTTATTTATATTTGTAAAATTTATTAGCCAATATCTCAGGGGCTGCCACAAAGAAGAGGGAGTCAAGCTATTCTCCAAAGCGCCTGAAGGCAGGACAAGAAGCAAGGGATGGAAACTAATCAAGGAGAGAAGCAACTTAGAACTAAGTTGAAACTTCCTGACAGTTAGAACAATTAACCAGTGGAACAACCTGCCTCCAGAAGCAGTGAATGCTCCAGCACTGGAAGTTTTTAAGAAGAGACTGGATAATCATTTGTCTGAAATAGTGTAGGGTTTCCTGCCTGAGCAGGACTCGATGACTTCCAAGGTCCCTTCCAACTACTACTACTACTACTACTACTACTACTACTACTACTTCTTCTTCTTCTTCTTCTTCTTCTTCTTCTTCTTCTTCTTCTTCTTCTTCTTCTTCTTCTTCTTCTTCTTCTTCTTCTTCTTCCTTCTTCTTCTTCTTCTTCTTCTTCTTCTTCTTCTTCTTATTATTATTATTATTATTATTATTATTATTATTATTATTATTATTATTATTATTATTATATGTCCTTACTTTGTCCTTGGACAGATGATGGATTGATTGGTGACAAAGGCCGGGGAAAAGTGCCATCTTTGTGTTTGATGGTCTCTTCTTCCAATTCCCACTCACCGGTCACCAGCTAGAAGGCATAGCTCCTCATAAATAAGCGATGGCATTTAGTTGGCACTGAAATAAAGTCAAAAGAGTGTGCTTTGGCAACTGCTACGCATTTTACAGTTAAACAAACATGAAAATTCTCCTAAAAGAAAAAAAGGAAAATGCTACATCCATAATATGTGGGAGTAATAATAAAATAACAGAGTTGGAAGGGACCATGAAGGTCTTCTAGTCCAACCCCCCTGTTCAAGCAGGAGACCCTGTACCATTTCAGACAAATGGCTGTCCAGTCTCTTCTTAAAAACCTCCAGTGTTGGAGCATTCACAACCTCTGGTGTTGCAGCACCCAGTTCTCTTTTGATTGATTGTTCTCACTGTCAGGAAATTTCTCCTTAGTTCTAGGTTGCTTCTCTTCTTGATTACGGTAGTTTCCATCTGTTGCTTCTTGTCCTGCCTTCAGGTACTTTGGAGAATTAGTTGACCCCCTCTTCTTTGTGACAGACCCTCAAATATTGAGAGATTGCTATCATACCACAGTCCTTCTCTTTATTAAACTATCTAAGTTCATCATATGTTTTAGCCTCCAGACCCCTAATCATCTTTGTTGTTCTTCTTGAACTCTTTCTAGTGTCTCAACACCTTTTTTGTACCATGGTGACCCTAACTGGGAACAGTATTCCAAGTATTTCAATCTTGCTATCCATCCTAGGAGGACCCCAGAATTGTGGAATCCAGCCCCCTCAACTGAAAAGCCCCCCTTATCTCAGCTTGATTACATTCACGAAAGAGAGATCACCTGTTAGATTTTAAGAATTTCATGAACAAAACTGCTGTTCGATAAGCCTCCAGAACTGGTGGTCAAAATATGAAAGGGACAGCTTTCATCCTTCACGAGGTTTAGTTTTTACCCCCTGATCACCTTTGTCACTTATCCGTTTTGGCCTACAATGTGACAAATGGAGCTGGACACACAGCACTAAAGGAAGGGTCTTGCCAAGGCAGAGAGCAAAGTAAGAATAAAATGAAATTTCCTATGACTTCAAATGCAGTCTTCCAGTGAGGTACCCTAAGCCTGTACTGACCATTTTTTGCAGCGGTGTTATAATGCTGGCTTATAGTCAGCCTGCAATCTTTTTCAGAAATGCCAAACTCAAGCCAGGCATCCCTGATTCTCTTGGCCTCTTTCCTAAGGGAAGCACTTTGCATCTATCTCTTACCAACTCGGGTTTGAATTTTATTTCTGCCTTCTACAGCATTAGGTATTCCACCCTATTTGGCATGATCTGCAAATCTGATAAGCTCCTTATTCCAGACATCAATAAACAGGTTGAAGATTAAAGGCCTCGAGCTAATCCTACTTCACTCTCCAGTTAGTGTGGAATCCTTAATGGGCACTTTTGAACCAGAGCTGTAGGGTGTGCGGCTATTTGGATATGAAACAGAAAAGGTGCTTCAGAGGCAGGTTCTCTGCACAGGTCAGTGCCTCCTTAGAGAAAGAGTGCCTTTTCCTGACCTTGATCACAAGCTGTGCTTGAATACAAGCACAATATGTCCCAGAAAGGAGAATGTTTAAGGAGGGAACGACAAGGTCACTGATGCCCCCTTGCCGCACCAGGTATGGGGTTTCTTTAAGGAGGTAACAACAAGTGCAGGGGCGTGTCCATCCTCCCTCTGCCCATCACTGCATCTTCTTCTTCTTGTGCCTTATCCATTATCGGACGTTGGCGATCATGTTGGCGATCCTGTTTTTATCAGCAGCCGCACGAAAAAGTGCTGCTGAGTTTTGTCCAAACCAGTCCCTTAGATTTTGAAGCCACGATGTTCTTCTTCTGCCTGGACCTCGTTTGCCTTCAGTCTTTCCCTGGAGGATTAAATGGAGTATGCCGTATTTTTCTGGGTGTCGCATCAGATTTCCGAAATATTCTAATTTTCGTTTTTTAATTGTTTTGATGTTTTTCCTTGGCTTTCCCAGGCGGCTTATCACCTCCTCATTTCTGATCTTGTCAACCCAGCTTATGCAGAACAGCCACCTGTAAATCCACATTTCAAATGCTTCTAGTCTCTTCAGGTGGCCTTCTGTCAGAGACCAACTCTCTACTCCATAGAGCAGGATAGAAAAAATATAGCATCTGACAAGCCTGATTTTCAGTCTTAGGCTTATGTCGTGATTGCAGAAGACCATCCTTAATTGGCTACTGATCAGAATGTTAATGGACATTAATCCACACACTTACGAAAGAAACGGAGCTTGCAGCTTGCCACCCAAAAGCAACAAGCTGCTTCCTACAATCTATTACAGAAGTTCCCCAATCAAAAAAAAAAAAAAAGTTTGACAAGACAAGTCGTTCCTGTTTTTGAGAACTCTGTGTTGAATTCCGGTACTCACCACATCACCATCAGGGTTTTCGTAAATCAGTCTCTTTACTGCCTGCCTGTCAAATGTCTTCTGAAGGATTAAGTGGGACTGATGGGTCTGTAGCTTGCTGGATCTCCCTTTCTTTCCCTGCTTTTCGTTGGATACTTCTTGTCCAACTCCCTGGAAACCTCAGAATTTCTCAAAAGATAATCCGTAATGGTTTAACCAAGAGGGTCAATACGTTTCTGTAGTAAGCTAGGACAAAGTACATCTGAGCCTGGATGTTTTAAAATCTTCAGTGTAAATCAATATTAGTTCGTTCCTTTCCTTTTATTTCACATGTATCTGATGAGGTTGCGTTTGTTTCTCTTGGCACCCGTCGCCAACCAGAGCAGATTGACTTTCCTGATCTCCTGTCAACCAGGTATTTCCTGGGACTCATTTCTGCTTTCAAAACTTCACACACATCTTTTTTGTGCATCTGCCCTGGCTTCCTCCATTTCTTTCTTCGTTTTAATTGTTTGCATTGTGTTTTTAGAATCTTCTTTTTAGGAATGTCCGTGCTTGGGTTTCTTTTTGCATTAGCTTCTCCTGCCACGACATCTCATTTCTCAATGCTCTATTAAAATCTTTGAGGGGGCAGCAGCAGTGGGATGGGGAGCGCATGGTGTATTTTTTTTTGCTACATATAGCAATCATTCAGTTCCTGCTTATGATCCAGCAGGCAGTATTTCATAGAATGGCGGTATTGGAAATGTTGGTTCCTCTCCTTTCCAGAGGCAGGAATCCTCGGACCATCCCAGATACATGGCTGTGTCCAGAACCATCCCCGAGGGCGATGAAGCACCCACAACTCCAGGAGACAGGCTGTTCTGCTGCTTTGTAGCTCTCACATTCAAGAACTTTCTCCTTGAGGGTGATAGTTCGTTCTCCGAGCTTGTGGGTCGGTTTCCAAATGTTTCATTACCAGGCTAGATAACATCTTCAGCGGAGTTTAGGGCATCCCCCTAGACACCGCTGAGGATGTTACCTAGCCTGGTAATGAAACATTTGGAAACCGACCCACAAGCTCGGAGAACGAACTATCACCCTCATCCTACACCCAAACTACGGATATTCACCACTATTGCAAACTTCCTCCTTATGTGAAGTTTGAATCACTAATAATAATAATAATAATAATAATAATAATAATAATAATAATAATAATAATAATAATAATAATAATAATAATAATAATAATAATAATAATAATAATAATAATAATAATAATAATAATAATAATAATAATAATAAAGTTGGAAGGGACCTTGGAGGTCATCGAGTCCAACCCCCTGTTCAGGCAGGAAACCCTACACCATTTTGGACAAATGGCTGTCCAGTCTCTTCTTTAAAACTTCCAGTGTTGGAGCATTCACCGTTTCTGGAGGCAGGTTGTTCCACTGGTTAATTGTTCTGTCAGGAAGTTTCTCCTTATTTCCAGGTTGCTTCTCTCCTTGGTTAGTTTCCATCCGTTGCTTCTTGTCCTGCCTTCAGGCATTTTGGAGAATAGCTTGACTCCCTCGTCTTTGTGGCAGCCCCTGAGATATTGGAACACTGCTATCATGTCCCCCCTCGTCCTTCTCTTTGTTAAACTAGACATATCCAATTCCAGCCACCGTTCCTTATATGTTTTAGCCTCCAGTCCCCTAATCATCTTTGTTGCTCTTCTCTGTACTCTTTCTAGAGTCTCAGCATCTTTTTTACATCGTGGTGACCAAAACTGGATGCAGTATTCCAAGTGTGGCCTTACCAAGGCATTGTAAAGTGGTATTAACACTTCATGTGATCTTGATTCTATCCCTCTGATAATGCAGCCTAGCATTGTGTTGGCTTTTTCGGCAGTTGCAGCACACAGCTGGCTCAAATTTAAGTGATTGTCCACTAGGACTCTGAGATCCTTCTCACAGTTGCTACTATTGAGCAAGGTACCCCCTATACTATACTTTCACTGGTTCTTGTCCTACTCTTGGGGACTATAGAGAATAAATCCACACCCTCTCTCCATATAGGATGGCCGCACCCATGGCTCTCCTTAGCCTCTTTTTCTGCACTCTGCACATGCCAAGTTCCTCTGACTGGTCTTTGTAGAATTTAGCCTCCAAGCCCCACACCTCTCCTCTGCCCCCTTTCCAATTTCTCAAGGTTGTATTGTGGTGGCAGACACAGTTTTCTTGGTGCAGATTGAGCAGCGCAGTGCAGAGCAGAACGCTCAGTGATCATAACTATATATCTGTGAATGCAACCCACGATTGCATTAACTCTTTTGACAGCTACAGCACATGGGTGATTCATGCTTAATCAATGGCCTACCAGGATGCCCAGATCCTTCCCATACATACCACTGCCAAACCAGGTATCTCCTCTTATGCAACAGTACCTCCGATTTTTTGGATAAAATCGGGACCCAATATTTCTCCACAATCAACTGCATTTTGTAAAATAAGATCCAGTATTTAAGTTTACCAAAATCCTTTTAAGCGTTGTACCTGTTTCTGAACTGTTAGCCATCTCTTTCACCCAGCTTAATGTCATCTACAAATTTGCTAAGGATCTTTTCTATTTCCTTGTCTAAGTAATTTATGAAAATATTGAAGAACACACTGGGTCCCGGGAATGGAAGTGTGAAGTACCCTATTGCAGGGGTCCTCAACCTTGGCAATTTTAAGACGTGTGGACTTCAATTCCCAGAATTCCTCAGCCAGCAAAGCTGGTGACCAAAGCTGGCTGAGGAATTCTGGGAGTTGAAGTCCACACGTGTTAAAATTGCCAAGGTTGAGGACCCCTGCCCTATTGCATACACCTAGATGTGGATCCATTAAGGACTATATGATGGATACTGTTGTTCAGCAGCAAATCTATCCCACACTTCCCCTCTTTATTAAGAAAGAGGCTATAATCGTCGTTTTCAAACTTCTTAAAGGATCCTCTGTCAGTAACTGCTTTCTTGCCAGCATCGGTGAGGATTTCCCACCACTCTGTCTTGTGGTGGCCTCTTTTTAAATTGCTTGTGATTCTTCTAAACATGGAGAACGATCAGTTTCCAGGGGTGTTCCTGCTACTTGCATTTCCTCCACTCACACCTTTACATCCCTCCCTGTCAGTTTGTTCCGTTAAGGTTTCTCAGAGACTGGAGCACCTGACCCCCACTTCTTCTTCTATCCAAGACAGAGTTTGCCCTGCAAGGTCAGAACAATGTACCTTGTCCTGGGAAATGGGAGTCAAGGCCTGGCAGGCTAGGGAACCCAACGGCAAGGCATTTCCTGCTGCTTACAGCCTAGAATCCAAGAGAACATGTTCTGTTTTCTTCCTGTACACGGCTGGCTGATTATACGCCATCAAGTTAAAGTTGATTCTTAGTGACCACACAGATTTTCTTCAGGATGATCTGTGCTCAATCTGGTTCCTCAGCTCTTCCAGTGGCACCCCCACTTGAACAGAGTCCAGTCACCTTGCCTTCCCCTACTAGCCCTAGGAATCCTGGAGTAGCCCAGGCTACTCGAGGCCCTGAGGGTTGCCCTAACAAGGAACTCGTGAGCAGTTGGATCTACTTTTCCACAGATGGGTCTCCTTTTCTCTCTCTCCCAGAATAGAATTCCCTGGAGATTCCCTTTTGGTCTAGGCAGGGCCACCCCTCAGCAGTGGAGATCTCTGCTGGCAGCATAGACTTCACTGCCACCCAAGTATAAATCATAAGATCACTTTGAGAATTAGGACACTTCCACAAAATGCAAAAGCTTTTGTGCCTGGCAGTTGACTCAGTACCTTGTGTAAGTCAACTACATTTAGCAGATGAGATCCTGCTCCCTTGCCCACTGTAAGGGTTGATGATGAGTCTTCAGTCAGAAACCAGGACTGGGTGTTTAGCTCCCAGGTTCAGTAATGGCTCTTTGGGTGATAGCAGCCACCTAGCTGGATCATAAGAAAGGCTGAGCGCCAGAATGGAGGCCTTTGAACTCTGGTGCTGGAGAAGACTCTTGCAAGTCCCCTGGACTGCAAGGCGTTCAAACCGGTCAGTCCTAGAGGAGATCAACCCTGACTGCTCTTTAGAAGGCCAGATCCTGAAGTTGAAACTCAAGTACTTTGGCCACTTAATGAGAAGGAAGGACTCACTGGAGAAGAGCCTAATGCTGGGAAAGATTGAGGGCAATAGAAGAAGGGGACGACAGAGAATGAGGTGGCTAGATGGAGTCACTGAAGCAGTAGGCATGAATTAAATGGACTCCAGAAGATGGTAGAGGACAGGAAGGCTTGGAGGAATGTTGTCCATGGGGTCGCGATGGGTCGGACATGACTTCGCAACTAACAACAACAAAGTTGGGAACAGTAAACCTGGAAAGAGTACTTTTTGCAAGCAAGAGATGCTGTGGAGACATGCTGCTCTCCTGCATGAAGCACTGCAGCAGAAGGACCTCCTTGCTCCCCTCTCTCTTAATAATCATCCTCTCCCTTCCCCAGTTCTTCTAGGTCTGCCCAAGAAAATGACACTTGGTGGGGGTGGCTTCCCCCAGCCGTACCAAGCAGACCAGCTACACCTGCATTGGGGATCAGGGCTAACCAGGCCTGGCTCCGAACACACAGTGGATGGGCACCGTTATGTGGGTGAGGTAAATCCCAGTCTTTTGTCAATGGCTCCTGCCAATAGTCCAAGCTGCCTTGCTTGGCATTTACTCCTTTTTCTAGGTCTTGAGAGATAAAGTGCTTTGCTGGCCTTGATGCCAAACCCAAAGCTGCTGATGAGGAGTCGAGGGTCTTTGTAACAAAATTATTTGAACAAGAAAAAAAATAGGTATGCTTTACAGAATGCAATAACATTATTTGAATGGGGGAGTATAGGCCTTTTCACTTTTCTAGGACCCCCAAGGGGCTGCATTGGGGTCTTTGGCATTTTCTCTGGCCAAGAAAGACACGGCTCTGTGTTCAAAAGTTATTTTCCAGGAGCTTAAAACTCCAGAATTTCCTTCCTCTACCTCAGGGGTCTTCAAACTTGGCCCTTTTATGACTTGTGGACTTCAACTCCCAGAATTCCTCAGCCAGGCACGCCTGGCTGAGGAATTCTGGGAGTTGAAGTCCACAAGTCATAAGAGGGCCAAGTTTGAAGACCCCTGCTCTACCTCATGGGAAGGGGTGGGGAGCATATAGGTGGAACATTAATTCCTCCCAGGGTTTTGATGTGGTTTGTGCAACACAGATGCTTCGGGATATCCTGATGGTCCCATGAAGTACGATCCTCTTTGTGTATTAAGCTGCAGAAACACCGGGGGGGGGGGGGGGGGACCAACACAGGTGCTTCTTGAGTGTGCTCAGTGCTGTCCTCTGTGTTTGCCTCCAGATTCACGTGGTCCATTACAGCTCCCATTTTGAGAGTGTCCAGGAGGCTGCGAGTGAACCAGGAGGGTTGGCTGTGCTGGCTGCGTTTCTGCAGGTGATGGGAATGTGTGTGTGCATGCTGATCCTTCTTTCACTATGCTGATCCTGAGTTAAAACGCCTCATAAATCAGATCAGATAGATAAACTCAATAGAAATGATTTCATAACAAAAACATATTTAATCAGAAAGATTACTTGCATTCATGACGGTTGCCTCTGATAATACATCTCTATCCATTCCTATAGATGAAAGAATGATGCTCTCTTCATACCATCTTTATAGCGGAACAGGGTCATCGGGTGACATCTGATGGCCCATGCTTCTTTCAGACAAAGACATTCCTATCTGGCTTGTGTCCAGGAAGTCTCTCAATGCCCTTTAGAAACTCCTCCCACTGACCCATTAACATGGGATGACTGACTAGCTAAACTACATTTCCCATAAGCCATCTCTTAAGGAGACAGCACTTAACTCAATAAATGCCAGATATTCTAACATACAGATACATGCTCTCTAGTTAGGGTTACATAGAGTTATACGATTCAGAACAGTGTGTGTGTGTGTGTGTGTGTGTGTGTGTGTGTGTGTAGAAGAGATGAACGGTGGGCCAGGCAGATGCAGAGCTGCAGGAATTCACCCTTGGAACACTGGCAGCATTTCCATCAGCTGCCCTTCAGGGTGGATGCAAGAAAGTCTATTGTTGTTTTAGAAGAAGATCTTAGTTTTGTTTTGTTCTTTAATGTGCAATGGGTGATGTTTGTAGATGAAGCAGAGGCCACTGAGTCTCCCTCTGGAGAAGCCGGGCTCTTGGTGACATGAGGCCGAGTGCCTACACACCTCTCGCTCCTGTTTTTGTCTCCTTTTCCAGGTAGGGATGGAAACAAATGAACCATATCAGCACATCCTCAAACATCTGAGTGAGATCAAGGAAGAAGGTAAAAAGAGGCAGGGGAAAGTTCCCCCTCCTTTCTCTGCTTTGGGTCCAGCAGAAAATCCCCCTGCAGGAGATCTGGGAGTACTGAAGCCAGGCAGGAGAAAGGCCACAGGTCACCTGCAGGCGATGCTACCGTTTCCATGGGGCACGTCTACATCCAGGAAAGCAAAAACCAGCAGGCCTCTCTGCATCGGCCCTCGGTCACTGCCCCAGCTGCCTTTAGCATCTTCCCTACATGACACATACAGAAAAGCAGGGCTGATGAGGCAAAGTACTGAAGTCAGAAGAAGTGGGCACATTGGCATAGTCTTGATTAACCACAACTGTTGCTCCTTGTGTGTGTGTGTGTGTCAGTGATGTCTCTGATCACCACATTCCATTCATCTGAATGAGATGCTCTTAAGGTGACCTTTGGGGTGCCCTTCTATTCAGGCAGCAGTGTCCCGCTAGATCAGGGGTCTTCAAACTTGGCCCTTTTATGACTTGTGGACTTCAACTCCCAGAATTCCTCAGCCAGGCACGCTGGCTGAGGGATTCTGGGAGTTGAAGTCCACAAGTCATAAAAGGGCCAAGTTGGAAGAGCCCTGCTCTAGATGGCTCGTCTCCTTGTGTTTCTCAGCATCCTCCTGGCATGATCCTCACAGAGGTTTCTCCTTTCTTAGGAGAGGAAACAGTAGTTGCTGGCTTTGATGTAGCCAAGCTTCTCCCTGACGACCTTGGCCGCTATTTCCGCTACAATGGCTCGCTGACCACCCCACCTTGTTACCAGACGGTGAACTGGACAGTCTTTAATCAGACAGTTCGGCTCTCCCGGGAACAGGTTTGTCTCCGCCGGGCAGGGGTGCTCCGTGGTCCTCTTCTCCTCCTCTGGGTGACCATTGGTGGCCCTTCTCCCTGCAGATCTCGGTGCTGGAGGACACCCTACGAGGAGACGAGGATGAGCCTATCCAGAGTAACTTCCGCCTGCTGCAGGATCTTTATGGGCGGAGTGTCTTTTCAAGTTTTCACAGCCTTGAGAAGGTTCAGCCAACTGGTAAGTGAGCCAAGCGCCACCTGTTTTCAGACCCAAGGAGATTTCCTGTCAAGCAGCCTCACGTGCAAGAATCCTTGAATCCAAGAACGCCATATTAATAAGGATATCTTTGAAGATTTTCTAGTCCCATTCTAGTCTACTGCAAAATTGTCCTAATGGCCCATTTGGGGCCTGATCCAATCCTGCCCATCTTGACACTGAAGATGGAGCAGCTCTCTTTCCTCGTTGGGGGCTCCTTGGGTTGACCTGCCTTTTGCTCCTCTTCCATCTCCTCTTCCTCCTCTTCCATCTGGCAATTCCACCATAATCCACCCTTAGGACTCCCTCTTTGTGTACTGAAAAAGGTTAACTTTCAGGTTTTGGAGATGAATCTCCCGTTTCTGCTGAGCCTTTATTTTAATATCTACAATCTTTCATGAACTTGTGGCCAGAGCGTATGACTTAATTTTTTTTAAATCAAGGCAGTGTCAACAGTCAGCATAAGGCACTTGGTTAACGGGATCAGTTCTGTCTTCTCTACATGACAAGCTAGAAGCTTCTCAGGATCCCACAAGCAGGGCGCAGGGCAACAGAAACCCCCAGGCAGGAATGGGGGAGGCAGAGGTGGCAACGGCTCCCAAGCTGGGGGGGGGGGCTTCAAGGCCACTCAACCTTCTCCAAAGCCAGCTAAGCAAAGAGCAGGGAATCCAACTCCATGCCTGTGTCCAACCCAGAGGTCCCTGGGAGAAGAAGATACTGGTGTCTTCCAGTTGGGGTGGGGATGCCCCTCCCCAGTCCTTCTTTTATTAATGGACATCTTTCTTTATTGGGGAGGAGAGCCGCTTTCATTATATGCTAAAATCCCAGCAGGCAGAACATTTCTACATCACGGGAGGTGGGACTCACACTGAGAATGTAATGGAAGGACAGATTCCGTCTGCAATAGGTGATCTAGCAGGCACCCAAACTGAAAAGGGGTTTCTAACAACCAGCACAGAAAGCTGGCTGACCAGCTGCCAACAAGCAGGTATTTCCCCCCCCCCCCCATCCAGACTGGTGAAACAAGGCAGAAGTGGGCAAGGACACATTTGAGCAGCTGAAGCTTCCACCTTGTCTTCATGGGCAACCTCATGTGGCGTCAGATGCTGCCATCCACCTTCAAAATTATAAGGGCATGGGGGGGAGTAACTGTTGCCAGCACCTCCTCTTTAGGCAGGTACACAAACTCTCCTTACACTCCCTTGCAAAGTCCACACAGGACAATGAAAGGAGGGAATGACTCAGTGCAATGATTGAAGCTCAGCCACCATCTTCTGGGAACCAGAAAGTCTTTTGTGTCCCAAAGGTGTTTTTTCACAAGGCAGCTCGACTTCCTTGCTTTTCTTTGAAGAAGTTTCGCTCCTCATCCAAGAAGCTTCTTCAGCTCTGATTGGATGGTGGGGAATGGTAGGGATTTGTACTTCTTTTATCCCTTCTTTTAGAGCAGACATGTCAAAAACAAGGCTCAGGGGCCGGATGCGGCCCACGAAGTGGTTTCATGTGGCCCGCGAAGCCATCCTAGAAACAGTGAGGGAACAGCCCCCGCTGCCTTGGCCCTGGCCCAGGCCAGCCGGGAGCCAATGTACAATTTTGTGGTGGCCATCTATGCTGAAACGCATTCAGTCTTAGCTCCACAAGGCCGTCCAGAAACAGCGAGGAACCAGCCCCTGCCGCATCGGCCCTGCCCCCTGGGTGCATGCTGGGGAGGTGTCACCCTTTGTGAGGAATGAAGAAATGGACCATGCCTTGGCGCTTGCCCTGGTCCCACCCCCTTCTGCCAGAGACCCTCAGATCTGTCCCACTCCTGCCCAGGCCCCCACAGGCACCCAGTAGGCCACACCCACTCCATCCACACCCATCCAGTAGGCCTCCCCCCCCGCCCCCCCGAGGGCAACCGCAATGCTGATGCGGCCCTCAATGAAATTGAGTCTGACACCCCTGTTTTAGAGAGTTGTTGAGGCCACTTGGAGGTTTATCTGTGTCCTCAGGGTCACCTGAGTAGTGCAAATGGGCATCCACTCTCTAAAAGAAGGCAAAGGACCAGCTGTCTGCAAGGAGTATAAATCCTCCCATTCTCCACTATCCACTCAGAGCTGAAGAAGCTTCTTGGATGAGAAGCGAAACATTTTCAAAGAAAAACAAGAAAGTCCAGTTGCCTCCTGAAAAACCACCTTTGGGATAACTATGACCTGGATGGCTGAGAATCTCCATAGACAAAGTCTTTCGTGGTTTGTGCTTCTGCTCCAGCCTTTCTTGCTAAGCCAGTTTTGTTAAAGATGGGGGCTCAAACATGGGTTGATGATGAAAGGGGGTCCTTGATTAAATTTATCATAAGGAACCAAACTAAAAAGACAGTCCAGGAAGAAGCAAAGGATTGAGGCAACTTTCAAGATGAAGACGTCATCCGCGAGAATCCATATGCAAATTGCTGTCGCCAAACTATCCCAGTTTAAGAAAAGTCTAATTTAGACTAACAAATCTAAATATCTGACCACTTGAAAGGAGCCTCCAGAAGTACATTCAGCTGCACACTTGCTTCTGGTTTGGGGAACTGCTCAACAAAAGCATCTCTTCCCTTGCTGGCCCTTTATTCCCCATTACTGGCCCTCACCTGGCCTAGAACTGCTGCCAGATGCCGGCCCATTGGCCCAGCTGATTTGGAAGGACTTGGTATCTCTGCACCTTCCTTACATCTTCCTAGGAACTGGGTTTAGTTGTTTCTCCTCCCCCTTAATTTCCTGAGAGTCCAAGTCTCCTTCTTCTCTTCTGCACGCTGTATAACTTGCTACCCCCCTCCCAGGAAATCAGCTGCTGGGTAGAAACTGGTTTTAGAAAAAAGGCTCTGTGTCCGGCCTCTCCTTGGGTCATCCCACACCCATCCTGCTTCCGATTCAAGGTTCTCCGGCCACGGGCTACTGGGTTTGTCCCACCTCTGCCACAGCCCTGAAAAGCACACAAGCCGCTCCCTCCGGCCCCCGCCTTATCAGCCACGCCAGTCAAAGGAGGCATCTGGCCTAAAGAGGAGCTCCGTTGGTCAAGCGGAAAGAGCGTTTGTCCGGCTTCTCCCCAGGGCGAGAATGGCCAGGCTGCATCCCAGGTCCGCCCGGGCAGCAGAAGGGCGCTGACCCTCTAGCACAGGGGTCCTCCACCTTGGCAACCAGCTGCCTGAGGGATTCTGGGAGTTGAAGTCCACAAGTCTTAAAGTTGCCAAGGTTGAGGACCCCTGCTCAAGGCAGCCAGAGCCGCAGGCTACTCTGCCCCACGGAGCAACCCTCTCTGGGGATCCTAGCCTCATCTCTGGACCTCACGGCTCTCCCAAATGGCCAAACGGGTCACTTGTGGGGCAGCTCCGGCTTAACTCGGCCTCTCTGCTTTCGACCGACAGGAGCCTGGGATGAAACAGAGAGTCATCTTCTTGTGAGATGGGCGGCTGTACAAATATCCCTGTTGTTGTTAGTTGCGAAGTCATGTCCGACCCATCGCGACCCCATGGACAACGTTCCTCCAGGCCTTCCTGTCCTCTACCATCTTCTGGAGTCCATTTAAGCTCATGCCTACTGCTTCAGTGACTCCATCCAGCCACCTCATTCTCTGTCGTCCCCTTCTTCTATTGCCCTCAATCTTTCCCAGCATTAGGCCCTTCTCCAGTGAGTCCTTCCTTCTCATTAGGTGGCCAAAGTACTTGAGTTTCAACTTCAGGATTTGGCCTTCTAAAAAGACAAATATCCCTACCTAACATAAATCTGTCTGGGAGGCTCACGCCCCCTCCCCCTTTTCTGCTGAGGTTCGGATAGGCAGCGGACTCCCCCCTCCCATCCCCCAGGCCTTTTGTGATCCTGGCTGAATCGATTAAAATGGGGGAGGGGTCTGGAGGCTTCCTGGGCTGACTCCGCCGTGCGTGTGCCCGCATTCGGACAAACGCACACGTAAGAGAACGAGTGATAATAGCAAAACCGGTTTCTGTGTGTGGTTTTTGGGTTTCTGTGTGTGTGTGATTATCCGCGCTTTGTGTATGTGTGTGTGGGGGGAAAGTTATGATAAGGCCGCATCCTGAGTAAAGACATTCCTTCTCATGGTTACCAACCCTTTTGAGATCCAAGAGGCAGCGGAGTTTGCTGCTGGGTGTGGGGGGGGGAGTACCTCGATGGGGGAGGGATCCCTACAGGAGACCCGCCCAGAAGAATTGGGAGGAGCATGGCAGGGATCCAAAGTGGCTCTGGCTATGGGCGTGTGCAGTTGACCTTCCTTTGATTGTGTCTTGCAGGTGGAGGGCCTTTGGAGGCGGGAGGGGGCCGGACACAACCCAAAGCAGGTATGGTTCCAGGATCCCTGGCTCTCCTTGGCCGGGCTTGGCGGGGGGGGAGGAGGAAGGGGCGGGGACTGCTTTTGCTTAGAGGTTCAGAGCTGAGCTATTCCTCCCCTTCTGTTCCCCAAGGTGAAACTTGGTTTTTTACATTTAACCTGATTATTGACTTAACCTGGTGATTCATTTCATGCAGGCTACGGATGCTGCTTGCCTGACAAGCTTGTGCCAGGCAAAGTCCCCAACCCAGCTAATGAAGCCCAAGGGGTTAGTCCAAGGGTAGGCAACCTTGGCTCTTTTATGACTCGTGGACTTCAACTCCCAGAATTCCTGAGCCAGCCATGCTGAGGGGAAAGGGAGAGGTTTCCAAGCTGAGCCATGCTGGCTCAGGAATTCTGGGAGTTGAAGTCCACGAGTCATAAAAGAGCCAAAGTTGCCTACCCTGGGTTAGTCGGTCTTGTTGGGGACTCCTTCGCTCTCTACACGTGTCAATGTCCGTGGTCAACATACTGGAGAGGCCAGGAAGAAATGCTTCCCCTCAAGTCTGGGGGAATGGAAGAAACAGGTAGGGGGAGATACTTCCCCAACTCAGATCACTTTGCTTATTACCCCGGTCTCCCTCTAGACGGAGGTCTCTCCTCTCCTCTGCCAGATGGCGCCCCAAGAGACCACCTTGATCCCCCAGATTCTGGAAAAGATGGCACCCCAAGAGATGGCCTTGACCCTCCGGATTCTGGAAAAGATGGTGCCCCAAGAGACGGCCTTGACCCCCCGGATTCTGGAAAAGGTATTCACCTGGCTACACAGGGCCAGGTTAGGGTCAGCTGACCTCCTTTATTTCAAGGACAATCTCAGAAGCTGGTTGCTCTCTCTCTCTCTCTCTCTCTCTCTCTCTCTCTCTCTCTGTGTGTGTCTGTGTGTGTAGAGCGTTGGGGAGCAAAAGTCTTGCCAAATGGCTTCTGGAAGCATTCTGGGTGGTTTGTGGCCACGGGTTGAGTCCTTCAGCCCAGAGAAGGAAGGAAGAAGGCATGAGGAGGTCTCCAGCTGCTCTGGATGCCGAACGCTCATTCCAGATCAGAAGCCCTCAATGGGCACAGGGCCGGTGGGTCTCAGATAGAGCAGCCACTGCCCACCTTCAGCTGGGCTTGGAACCAAGCAGAGTAGAGGCTGGGGAGTCAAAAGGCCTCCTAGGGGAGAACATCCTCTGTTGGCATAACAGTGTTGAACTGGAAGGAAGCTAGTTCAGGAGCTGGACTGGAGCTGCTGCACACCCAGCCCCCCCAAGATATTGTCACCATCCACAGAGGTCAGGCTAGGCTGCAATTGGGCTTCAGAGTGTTTGGGAACCAGCTCTTTTCTGGTGGTGTGTGTATCAGGCTGGCACAGGGAGTGTTTCTACTTCTTGGGCACCGCCCAGCCCCAGCCACTTTTACTACCTTTTGCCCAGCTATAGCTCATGTGACCCAAGCCTTCTCTCTCTCTCTCTCTCTCTCTCTCTCTCTCTCTCTTGCAAACAACCATAGCAATTTCTTATTTGCATATGGTGCCCAACTCCCAGCGGGGGGGGGGGGCTCTGGGCACTCCCAACCCAGGAAAGGCAGCTTGGAAGGGCTTTGGATTCACTTCTTCCCAACCTCTTGAGCTACTCTGGTTGGTGTTCTTTCTGCTTTGCTTCCAGATCCTGAGAAGCAGGTGGACACCTCCCTTCACACAGGTAAGCGCCTGGGCACCTGCTCACAACTGGCCGTGTCAGCCCTCCCTTCCTACTGCAAATGTGATGGCAACACCAACAGCATTTGGGGCAGCTCCTGTGCCCTTCCACGGGGCGATTCACTTGCCTCCAAAGCCTGAACGCAACTGGGGAGGGGCTGGGCAGTCAGCCACCGGGCGGGGGAGGAAGAGGTTGCTGCCTGTGAATTTCCAGCATTAACCGGACTGGCTGAGTCGGTGGAGCTGCAGTCTGAAAATGTTTCAAGCACCAACTTGATCTGCCCCCCCCCCTTGCTGGCCTTATCTCCCATGGAGGGATTCATCAAGGGACCTTTTTCTCCAGGGGACATTCTGGCTATTCTCTTCGGCTCTCTCTTTGTGGCCACAGCCCTTGCCTTCCTCTTCTACATTCACAAGCACCGGAGACTGGCAAGCAGGTGAGAGGAAGCCCCACAGCGGGACACAGTATGGCTTTCCAAAGCTCCCAGGGGAGGAGAGCCACACAGGGCCCTGCTTGGCCCACACGTCCCTCCTCTCCTGTGCATGCCAGGGCCTCCGAGGATGCCAGGGCCTCCGAGGAAGGCCACGCGGGTGGGAAGGAGAGCAACGCCCGTGCCACATGCTCCCTTTTCTCTTGGCAGGCACAGGGGACAAGCCACGAAACCTGCTGCCCTTTACGTTCCGGCCTCCACCGATGAACAAGCACTGTAGCTGGCAGCCCACTGGCCACGCTCCACCCCACGCCCTTGGAGCTCCTTCCTACCCCAGCCTGTTCAAAGCCCCACGTGCCTCCCCCCACTAGCAGCTGGGGTGGTGCTCAGGCCAGCCGGAGGAAGAGCAACAAGATCCCCCTCCCCTCGCCGGAATAGAGGGGCTGCAGAGGAGCCCAGCCCAGCAGAGTTGAGGGGGTCTTCCTGAGAAGGCTCCCCCCCTGGACTTGTGGAACAGCGAGGCCCCCCCACCCAAATTGCAAGCCACTGTGCTCCTGAGGCGCTTCTAGCCAGAAACCCGTGACTTACCTTCAGGCTCTCCAGGAGGAAAGAACCACGGGCTGCTCCAGGTGTGGCAGGACCCACCTGGGTGCCAGGAAGCCCTCTTGGCATAAGGCTTGCCCAGCGGCTGTGGGAGAGGGCTGGTGCTACAGAAGTCATGTCATTCTCTCTCTCTCTCTCTCTTCCCACCCTTCTCATTGGGAAACCTGATTGGCCAAAGGCCGGACTGGCCCGATTAATGGCTTCTTGATGGCCTGCACAAACACGGCAGCCTTGCCGCTCTGTCGACTGTTCTCACAAGCTCGTTGCGTGGCTACCCGGGTGACAAGTGGCCTGAAAGCTGCCTAAGCTCAGCCTTCTTCACACAAACCCCGAATGAAACAGCAAATTCTAAAAAAAAAGGTTTATTTTGGGAATGTGCTACTTTCCCCCTATCCACTCCAACGCGACCTTGAAACGAAGCAGAGCTGGCTGGGATGCAGCCCCTGGCAAAGCAGGTGCGCAGGGCAGAACACGGCATCAGTTAGCTCTGCCAAAGTGGTCCAGGAAATCAGTAGGTGAGACAGAGGGAGGAAATCAACCTGTGAATCAGGGCTTGCTCCTCCCCCCCTCCATTGATTTTATAGGACAGTGGTGGCGAACCTGTGGCACGCGTGCCAGAGGTGGCACTCGGAGCCCTCTCTGTTGGCACGCGCACCACCGCCACCAGCAGCAGGCCCATCAGGCCGCCACCGCCACCCGGAGCAGGAGCCCCACCCAGCACAAAGGCGAAGCGGCCGACTAGCATTTTACATGCGTCCATGCACACATAGGGCCACGAGCACGCACGTACTGCAAATGGGGCAGGGCTAGTGCCTGTGTGATACTCACTAGCCCTGCCCCGTTCTTGTGTGGTGCAGCGCCTTGTATCTGTACCCTGCGGCGCGGCGGCAGCCATTTTTGCGCCTTGCAACATGGTGGTCCATTTTTGTGCCCCCGGGTTTTGCATGCCAAAGGCGGCACTCAGAAGCACCTCCCTGCCCCCCCCGAGGACACCACAATGCTGATGCGGCCCTGACACTTTGCAATAAATAAGTGGGTTTTGGGTTGCGGTTTGGGCACTCGGTCTCTAAAAGGTTCGCCATCACTGTTATAGGACGAGGGTTCCTCCATCTGCAAAACTACCCAAGGCCCCTTCCCTGTCTGGAGGCAGGTGGGTGGAGGGGAGTGTCTGAAGCCAAAGGATGACCCTCTCCTTTCCCCCCGGAGCTCTGGGTAAGTGCCACCCGACCAGGCCAATTTTAAAAAAAGCAAAAAATACCACAGGGGGGTCGGGATGTACAGAAAAAAAACCCTAGAATGATGCATGAACTATGAAGAGGCTTTCGGTCTCGTAATACCAACATCCACACTAACAGGGCTGCTGGCATCTTCTGTCTGGCCTACTGGGAGAAGGGCTTCAGCAGATGCCACATAATTCTCCTGTGGAACTTACTGCCACAAGATGGCTTGAAGATTATAGAAGGGAAGTGGCAGATCCTCAGAGGAAAATAAGTCTTACGTTTAGAGGTAATCCTCGACTTACAACTATTCATTTAGCAACTGCCTGAAGTTACAACGGCGCTGAAAAAAGTGGCTTCCAGCTCACATCCCCACGGTCACAGGATCAAAATTCAGCCCTGGGTTGAATTTTGTTTGCCTCATCACACAATTGCCATTTGTGACCTTCCCTGCCAAGCAAAGTCAATGGGAGAAGCCAGATTAGCTTAACAACTGCACAACTGACTTCACGACTGCAGTGATCTACTTAACTGTTGTGGCAAAAAAGGTCGTAAAATCGGGCACACGCCCCTTAGCTGCCTCGCTTCGCAATCAAAATTCTGCTCCCAATTTTGGCTATAAGTCGAGGACTGTCCGTCTGTTCTGGGGGGGGGGGGTGTCTGCTACTCAACGCCAGAGAACTGAGCGGGCCAAGGTGTTTGTGCCAATTTAAGGCTGTCAGCACTGGCACCTTGCAAAGAACGTCCCCTCCCCCACTGCGCCTGCCCCGCAAAGCATCGGGTGCCCAGTGTGCCAGGAGGGGACCTGCCCCAAGGAAGCTGCCAACGATGCCCCATATTTGGTGGGATGGGCACCAGAAAGGAAACCCAACAAAGAGCAAGACTGAAGGGACTTAAGACTGGTCAGTTAGGGACAGGACAGGACATGCCAACGCGGTGGCAGAACCAACCTGGTTGGAGTTCATGCAATACACTGAACCTGCAACTAACCGCATAGAGTTACAGCAAGCCATGGTTTCCTCCCACCCAAAAAAAACCTGTCCTAGGGGCTCCCCATGATGGTGACTGCATTGCTGCTGTCTCAGAAGCTGCCAGATGCTCTCTGCTCACCCGTCCAGCTCATCGTGTGATGGCAGGTGGCCCTTTTGCAGTGATGGCCACGCCAGCTGACCAAGCAGCAACCTCACCGGAGGCCAAGGCCATCTGCCCTGACCCCACCACCCCCAAACACACACAGGTTTTGGTCCAGTCTCTTTATTGGTACTACTACTTAAGACGGGAAGCCACAGCTCTGTTCTGCTCCCGGCTCTCGAGCACCGTAAGACTGGGCGCTCTCTCCCCGCTTCTGAGAGCGCCTGGCTGCTCAGCCAACACCCCTCCCCCTCCCCCCTCCCACCAGAGCAAGTGTCAGCAGCCAAATGCAGTGAGATTCAAGAAGAAATGGCACCGTGCAGACAGATTTCCTGGGGCTGGTTGGGCGGGGGTGCCCGTTCCGCGGCCCTGGTCCCATCTTTGGCCCTCCGCGTTCCAAGGGCACAATCATCAGATGCCCTCCAGGGAGTCTGGGGCCCAGCTTCCTTGCAACGTGGCCGGAAGGCTCAGGATCCCGCTTGGGGTGAGGTCCGTAGGCCTGTGAAATGGAGTGTAGCATTTGGAAAGGGCTGAGCCAGCTGGCTGGGGGGGAGGGGTTACCCCAGGGGCAACTGCCCAGTGGGGAGGGGGACCTGAGGTGACCTTGGGCAGGAGCTGGAAGGGCACTTACACAGGAGGAAGTGCTGCAGATTCTTTTTGGAGCCTCCAGAGAGATGATAGGCCCACACCGCCATAGCCACCATGAGCAGGTACGCTGGCAAAAGGCTGCCCAGGTAGACCGGGTTCCAGAAGGTCTGCAAGCAGAAACAATGGGGGGGGTCAGCCCTCCCTGCTGGCCTCTGACAGAGAGGTGGCCCTCTCCCACCCCGGTCTCTGTGCCTGGGGGGGGGGGGGCTGCAGGTCCCCAGAAACGAAGTGGGAAGCCCTCTGCCTCTCCGAGGCTGGAGAGCAGCCCAACCGAGGGGCACCACAACTGCACAGAGGAGGTGGAATTGCCTACAACCACCCCACCCCATGGCCTGTAAGCTGCTGGCCAGGGGCTGACCCTCCTGCAGACTTTGTTGCAGGAAGAGGGGGGGGCTTGCCTTGCTAGGCTGGGGCCCTGGATTCCCAGGGGCCACATGCAAGGCAACATCTCGGCTATCACAATACTAAGATGCCACGAGGACCAAGATCCTCCCCGCCACAGGGGACCTGGGTCCATTCATTGGGGCAGCTAAAGCAGAGACAGGCCTGGAAGGTGCATCTTGGCTACAGCCTAGTAGTCCCTGTCCTCCCCCCACCCACCCAATTTTTAGGGCTACTCACAAGGGCAGAGACGGTGAGATGGCAGAGCACCACAGCTGCCACCTCCCCCCAGCGCCGCATCTCACAGCCGTGGAAGAAGATGATGCCCCAAAAGGTGTGCAGCAGGATCAACACCAGAGTCATGAAGGCTGTGGGGACAGAGACAGTGAGGGGAGGGGCTAGAGAAGGCTTTTCACCCCCCCCCCAAGCAAGGACAGCTGTACCTGAAGTCAAAAAGTAGAGCTGGGAGTCTCCCTGGATGCCCACGATGCCAGGCCCCAGAGAATCCGCCAGCAGGTTGATCATGGCAAAAGCGCCGCTCATGAGTCCAAATCCCAGGCCGGCCACTGTGGAGACAGGAGGTGCTGGCCTGAGCCGGGCCCAAAAGGGCCGATCTATCCCCCAACCCCCAGCAGGACCTTTGACCACATCCTCCCGCCCCTATCCTGTCCACTTTGGACCTGGGAAGGGGCTTCCTTCCATGCTGGGAGACGCACTCACCAGCAGGGCCCTGGCTTGAAGCTCTTCTCCCAGCACCCCAGGGATTCCTGGCCCCCCTCCTGCCCTCTGCAGGGATCCCAGTGGAGTCCCTAAACGACCTTCTTTGCCCAGGGACCCCTGAGCCCTCCCTTGGGAAACGTACCGTAGGCCATCTGCTGATTGGAGATGGGAGAGCAGCCATCTTCACTGAGGGCAAGCAGCCCCTCCATCGCCTTCCTGGGGGGGGGGGGGGAGGAGAAGCACAGGCTGAGTTCCAGATCATCTGGGCTGAAGCTGGCACCCCTTTGCAGGCTTGGATCTCCTCTTTCTCCCATGGACTTGAAAAGGCTGCTCCTGGCCCAGAAGGAGCCTTCTTGACTGTGGGTGCAGGCTGGTCCCCTGGCTTTGTGCACCAGGCCAGCCCTAGTCTGAGGCCAGGTCTGTGGGGCCAAGCCACTCCCCCTTGCTTTGAAGTGGCTTCAAAGTTGGGGTGTGTGTGTGCACGCACACGCAGGCACACAGACGAGATACTCCTTTATATAAAATTTCCATTTCCTTTCATCTGTTAATTCTAGTTTAGTTAACTAAATGAGGTCAAACA